CTGCTCGAGGCTACAGAGGGCTGTCTTGTCCAAACAGCCACACCCCAGGGCCAACCCAGTGCTCTGTGTGCCAAGGGAGTTTCTGGGAGAGCCACCTGACACCCCACGTGACAGCTAGCCTTTCCCCCATCACACAGGGGTCACCCAGGCAAGGAGCAGAGGACATGGGGGCCATCAGCCTGTCACCCCTACCCAAGGGACTGCTCTAAGATCCCCAGAATCTCAGCCTGGTGGGTACAACTAAGCATCCTCCCAAAAAGGGCAAGAACCTTGGTTTCCAAATTCTATGCCTTCTGGAAATCACTCTAATGACTTCCGGAATGATCGGCTGAGGCCAACATCTGGCCCAGCCCTGCATGGGGTAGTAGGAAAGCTTCCTCTGTCAGAGTTAAGGGTCCTGAATGTGGACAGGTCACATTCTTAGGGCTCAAGGTGACAGGTCAGAGCCCAGGTCCCCAGGACAGTGCAGGTGAGTAGAGCAAGCACCAATCTAGCTCCGAGATGGGGTCTGAATGGACCCTGTGAGGTTGCCCACCTGACGTCTCATGTGAAACCCTGAATCAGAGGCCCGAGAGTTGCAGGGCAGTGGGGGACAGTGTCAGTGAGTAGTTAATCGACTTTTACTTAAAAACCCAGAAAACTCCAATTACTGGAAAGTGAAATCTCCCAAAGCAAAGCCACCACCCATCCTCCTTTCCCACTCTGATTCAGGTTTTCCCTGCCCCCCAGCAGAAGCAAGGCCCTTGTAAACAGGACAGGGTTAGAGAGCCTCAAGGGATACAAAGATCTGCCCGATTTGGGGTTTGGGGGGCCAGTACCGCGTACTCACATCTAGAAGTGGGGCTAGCTGCAACACACGCCTGAGATGGGGAACTCTCACCCAGCCCTGGGGATCACTTCCCGGCAGGCCAAGCCAGGCCTGGCCTGGCCCAGGGGTGGGGCTTGGGAGTTAAAGGGCCCTTGCAGCTGGTTCTCATTTTGTCCTCTGGGCTGTCTCTGCGGCAGCTGAAGGCACACCGAACCCTGCCCGCTAATCAGTTTCTGCTTGGAGCCAGCTGGTGGCACTGGGGTATGGCTGGGAGGGGCTGGAGAGCCCGAGACAAGGCAGGTGCTAACTGAGGGCGCCTCTGCCCATCTGGCTTTCATTTTCCAATCTGGGTGAATACAGTTCTGCCTCTCCCTTCAAGTGGGGCCAAACTATTGAGGCTCCGGCTATAATCACTCCTCTTAAGAGATGATAGCTCTGCATCTTTTATTTCAGACTCAGAAAATTCAGTCCCAGTCTCCAAATAGGTGTTCAGTAGAAAACATGCACACACACACACACACACACACACACACTTCCTTTCACACGCACACACACACTCTCTTTTTTCTCTCTCTTCCTCTTTCCTGCAACGTGCTGTTTGGGAGCTTGGGGTTTCTCTCTTCTTTCCAAGTTTCTCAGTGTCTCGGCTGGGGAAGGAGGGCCCAGGCTCCAGCAGGTACAGACGCTGCACCCTAGAGGCAGGAGCAGCAGGAGTCAGTATTTTCGCTGCCGAGGGAAGAGACTGCTCCCTGAAGATCGGAGTGGGGGGCTGGTGGGGCTGGTGTCCTCCGAGTCCAGGCTGAAGAGGTCCCTCCCAGTACGAAGGATCTGCTCCTCCAGCTTCTTGTGTCGCTTCATGTCAGAGAGCACCTTGTCCAGGCGGGCCTCCCGTTTCTGGCTCCGGGCTGAGCTTCCTGGAGAAGGGGAAGGTAAGATACATGGGAAGGATGGAGGCGGTGCGCACCAGACCTGCCTGAACTTCACTCATCACTTGGGGAGCTAGTTAAACATGCAGGTCCCCAGGCCTCCGTCTAGGATGACCTGAGGTTCAGGGTTGGCCCTCAGAAAGGGTGAGTGGCGAAGGTCTTGAATGACAGGATGGCATGAGCATTGTGAAAAGCAGGGAGGACCATATGGGGGAGGGGGGATGGCAAGGGTAAAGGCCCAGGACAAGAACAGAGTTCTGTTCAGAGAAGAGTGCAGAGAGCTGGCATTCTTGCTCTTCCCTGGCAAGACGGAATCCCTTGGAAAATTTTAAGTAGAAAAGTGACATGACTTATGGTCAGGCGCAGGGGCTCACGCTGTAATTTCAGCACTTGGGGAGGCTGAGGCGGGCAGATCACTTGAGGTCAGCAGTTCAAGACCAGCCTGGCAAACATAGCAAGACCCCATCTCTACTAAAAATTACAAAAATTAGCTAGGCGTGGTGGCATGTGCCTGTAATCCCAGCTGCTGAGCAGGCTGACGCAGGAGAATCAATTGAACCCAGGAGGTGAAAGCTGTAGTGGGCCGAGATCGTGCCACTGCACTCCAGTCTGAGTCTGGGTGAGAGACTTCGTCTCAAAAAAAAAAAAAAAAAAAAAAAAGTGACACGATTTATATTTTAAAATGATCATCTGAGTTGCAGAAACTGGAAGCGGAGAGCCCAGTTAGGAGCCACTGCAACTATCCAGGCAAAGATGGTGGCTTGAATGGGGATGTGGTGTTGAAAGTGGAGAGCAGCAGAGGTACTTGGAATGTACATTTTGTAGTAAGCAAGATTTGCTGTTGGTGTGAAAGTGCTGGTAAGAGACAGAAATCAAGAATGGCTCTAGGCTGGGTGCGGTGACTCATGCCTGTAATCTCAGCATTTTGGGAGACCCAGGCAGATGATCATTTGAGCCCAAGAGTTTGAGACCAACCAGTCTGGGCAACGTAGCAAGACCTTGTCTCTCCAAAAAAGAAAAGAAAAAGACATGACTCTGCGGGTAAATTCTAGAAAGGCCTGTGGGGTGGGAAATGGGGTCACTGGTGTGATTAAAGATGTACATGGTAGTAGAGGGATGTGAGTTACATAATATTGTAAGGCCAGGACCTGGACTTCTGGGAATGGGAAACATAATAGAATTATTTGTAATTTTCCAGAATCAATGACTAGTTTTTTTGTGTGTGTGTTTTTAAGAAATTATCTGTAATTTTTTTTTTAAAACAGTCTCACTCCGTGGCCCAGGCTAGAGTGCAGCGGCGTGATCTCAGGTCACCGCAACCTCCACCTCCAAGTCTCAAGCAATTCTGCCTCTCCAGTAGCTGGGATTACAGGCGTTGGCTACCACAACCAACTAATTTTTTGTATTATAACAGTCTCTTAAAGGAAGACAAGGGGCTGGGCACAGTGGCTCACGCCTGTAATTCCAGCACTTTGGGAGGCGGAGGTGGGTGGATCACGAGGTCAGGAGTTAAGAGACCAGCCTGGCCAGCATGGTGAAACCCGGCGTGGTGGCTCGAGTCTGTAATCCCAACTACTTGGAGGCCGAGGCAGGAGAACTGCTTGAACCCAGAAGGTGGAGGTTGTAGTGAACTGAGATCGTGCCACTGCACTCTAGCCTGGGCGACAAGAGCAAGACTCTGTCTTAAAACAAAAAAAGGAAAACGAAGTTAGTAGTCTAAGTCATAAAGAGGGTACTACTGGTGAATGCTCTCTCCTGTGGCTGAAGTTATGTGGCACCTGAAGCAGCAAGCAAAGGCCTCTAGGGGAGCTGATCTGGCGTAACTGACACCCTTCACCTCCCCAACCTTCCCCTCTCCTTTGTACCTGGGGTGCGTCGCCGGTCAATCAGGGAGTCCTTCGGTGTCACTGGCTCATCATCAAAATCAAATTCCGTGGGCATGTGTGGTCTGGGACAGGTGAACAGAGTGGAGGGTGAGGGCGGTCCTCCCGGCCACCCACACGTGTGCTTCTCCCCTGCCCACTCCTCCTCCCTCGCTGGCTTCCCTCCCTCCGCTTTCCGGGATCCTGGGTCCCACATTTTCCCCTCCCTACTTCCTCCAGCCATCAGGGGAGCAGCCCCGGGACAAGGTGTACGGGTGTGCCTTTACTTTTCCTCTTCCTCTTCTTTGGCCTCCGGCTCCTCATCGGATCTCTCCTCTTCGCTCTGGGCCTCAGGCGTGGGCGGCCGGCGGGGCAGGATCTCGGCTTGCAGCTCCAGGGTACCGTGGGCAGCCAGCAGTTCATAGAGCCGCTGGATTTCGGAGGGCTGAGGCATCCAGGGCTGCCCATCCGCGGGCAGCTCCACCTCCTCGTCGCTGCAGGGCACACACCAGTCCTCGGAGTCCCCCTCGGCGGGCTCTTCCCCACTGGCACTGGGGACTTCTCCCTGCGCCTCCTCGCCCCCGGACCCCGCACGCTCGGTCTCCTCTCGGCCTCCTTCTCCCTCGTCCTCGGCCTTAGCGGCCGAGGCGGAGGGGCCTCCGGCATCCTCCACGGCCAGAGCCTGGAGGCCGGAGGTCACTTCCCCTTCTTCAGACAGAGGCGCCGCCGTGGTGGCCGCAGTGTCTTCATGGCCCCGGGCAAGGGACATAGGGCCCTAGGGCAGGGACCCCGCGACGACAGATGCTGGAGTCCGAAGCCAGGATCCCTCAGGGATCGGGCTCCCCGGGAGAGTTCGGGACCGTCTTCAGCTCATCAGGATCCCGCAGAGGACTCCGCGGCCACACCGCCCGTCCCCGGGAGGGGGCGCTCAGTCCCCGCCAAGGACCCCGCCCCAGGGATCGAGGTCCGGCCGGGGCCCCGCAGAAACCACTTTCCGAGCCCGAGAAGGGGAAGAGAAGGGCGGGCCACTCGTCCCGCTTCCACGTCGCCCCTCTCCACACCTGGACGCGGCGCCCTCTCTCCGGACCTCGCAGTTGTTGGCCGCGTCAATTCAGCGACCGTACGCACCTGGAGCTAAGACCCGCCTCCCGGGCTGCGCAGGGTCACAGTACGCAGGCGCACAGAAATGGCGCGGGAGGCACCGCTCCACTCAAGGATACTTGAAGAGGAAAGCGAGGGAAGGCTTGCACATGCGCGGGTAGGCGCGCAGGCTTCAGCCCATAGTAAAGATGGCCACCGGGACGGCGCATGCGCATATTACACAAAAAAAGGGTCTGCGGGAAGAGAGGCAGCACCGCCTCGCCGGCGGGACAAACACAGAAACCAACCGAGACTGGAGGCGAGTCTCATGCAGTCTCCGTTTATTGGTGTTTCAGACTCATGCAACATCCGGCATACAAAAAGGGATAAATCAATTTGATATATATATATATATTTTTAAAGAATTTTAGTTTCTTTTTCCCCCATACTTTTTTTTTTTTAAGGAAAAACAAACCAACCAACCCGCCAAATCTGAACCATGCTGTAGCTCGGTCCCCGCCTCCTCAGCGGGCTGTCGCGTGCAACAAACCTCCCCCGTCATCTTAGAAAATAATTATAGAGCTCCCCGCCCCGCCCTCGCTCCTGCCAGTGGGAGCTTTGGTCCTATTTTTTGGATCCTTTCGTTATGAAACACGTGAAGGAATCTACCCCGACACCTTCAAGAAAAACTCGCAGACTGGGGTTGAAAAGCCCAAGTGGGCGAGTCAACTCCAGCTGACCTGGGAAGGGTCAGCGCCTTGTCCCTCCCTTCTCCCCTGCGCGCGTTCGGAACCAGTGCTCGCCACCCTCGCCGAAGTCCCCACACGAGGCCCGGCTTGCCAGCTCTGCGACCTGCAAGGCACCCTTGGGTGTCTGAGCCTGGGCGGTCCCAGCGGAGAACAGTCGGAGCCCGGGGTTGGGGAGCCCTCTCCCAGCACTGCTCCCCACCCCCCAGCCTGATCTAAGTGCTGTCATTTTTGCAGAGGACACGGTGCGGGGAGGGTGGAGAAGAGGATGCCTGAGGGGAGATGAGGAGGCAGGAAGAGGAAGGGGGTGGGAAGTGGAGAGGGAAGGGGAGATGATAAAGAAGGGAAGGAAGAGAGGACTTGGGGGTGGAGAGGATGCCAAGACAATGAAAGTTGGGAGGAGGAGGCCAGGGTGGAGGTCCAGAGAACTGGAGAGGCTGGAAGTGCAGGGAGGCCAGCCGGGTGAGATGCAGGGAGGCTGAGAGCAAAGAGTTGGGGAGGTGTTCAGGGAGGTTTCCAGAGTGCAGGGAGGTTTCCAGAAGTGCAGGGATAGGGGGCCAGGAGGCTGGAGGGGATGCAGGCAGCAGTGCAGGGAGGTTGGAACCAGTGCAGGGATGAGGGAGGCCTACAGTTGGCAGAAGAGCCTGGCAAGATGCAGGAGCAGGACAGAAGCTGTAAACAAGGCCGCTCAGGCTCCCTTGGTCCTTAGGGGTGGGGGCCAGGGCCATCAGTTGGGCTCCCCCCAGGGGAGGGATGGGCCCAAGGCAGCTCCCAACAGGAAGAAAAGTCTTGGGATTCGGGGCAGAGCCCCTCACTTATACACTGTGGGAGAGGAGAGGGAAGGATAGGTTGGTGGGGGGGGACAAGGAGCGACAAAGGAGAGGTAAGGAGGACAGACAGGAGAGAGCAGGGGCAGGGGTTAGTAAAGCTGCCCTTGCCAACCCTTCCACTCCTCCCCTGCCTGTCCCAAGCCCCCACTCACCGCCTAAGTTGATGACGCAGGAAGCGATGATGATGAGGATTCCCCCCACCAGCGCCACGATGCTTAAGAGCTTGGCCACACGGCCCAGACGCTGGGCCCCATCCACGTCCCCCTGCTGCAGGCTGTTCCGGGACTGGGGTTAGGGTGAGGGGTGGAGGCACATGGCCAGGGTCAGGAGAAGCCAGCCCAGAAGGGATCAGGTGGAAAAGTCATCCAGAAGAGAGAGGCCAGCCCCATGGACGGAGGATAAGGGAGGAAGGGGGAGTGGGGGGGCGGGTGGAGGAAGGAGGAGAGGAGGGGCAGAGGAAGGAGGGCACAGGTCAGCAAGGCTGTGTGACATGTGTGTCTCCATATCCCTCCCACCCAAAGGGGCAGGGCAGTGGTGGCTCACAGGGTTAGGTCCTAGGGAGAGGCAAACAAAGGCCCTGGAATTGGGGAGGTGGGATCCATGCAAAGAGAAGGGAGGAAAGGCATGGTTACTCCTGGGCCTCTGTCCCAGCACTGGCGGGAAGCCGGGAGCCACAGCAGGCTTGGGCCAGGGTCCCATGGGGCTCACCATGACAGCATAAGCGAAGGCCACAATGTTGACAGGCCACATAGGGCAGAAGCAGGACAGGATGGCAAGGATGATGTAGTCCCGAGGTTTCTGGGTGCCTTCACCCCCCTCCACCCCAGGACCTGCCAGCTGGGAGCTGGGGTGGCGGCTCAGGCTACCTCGGGGAGATCCCGGATGCCCACTATGTGCTCTTCCCAGTCGATCCTCCTCAACCAGCTGCTGCAGTACTCGGGGGGGAGCCCCATTGGCTGGGGGGGATTTTTTGGACGGTGGTGAGTGAGGCTCAGGAGCTGGGCCCTCTTCCCCATCGCCAGCCTGCAGGGGCACCACTGCCCCATTCTCTTGCTTTTCCGCTACACTCTCAGACAGAATCTCAGGGGTGGGGTCTTCCTCGGTAGGGAGCTCCGGTTGAAGGTCTGGCTTGGGGGTGGGCTGGGAATCTGGCTGGGGGTCTGGCTGGGGAGCAGGCTCTGGGGCTGGCTCAGGTGGGGCTGCAGACTCAAGCCTGGACCCCTGGTCTTCAGTGGTCTCTTTGCTCACTTCTGGTTTGGACACTGTTTCTTGACATGGCTCTTTCGGGCTGCAGTTGGCCTTTGATTCCCCTCCTGGGCTGAAGCTGAGGTCTGCGCCCTGGGCTGTTTCTGAGGCCCCAGCTGGGATCTCTGTGGTTTCTGGAGCCAGCCCAGCCTTGGGCCCTGAGTCCACAGGGGCTGCAGTGGTGTCTGGGCCTGGCTTCGAGGCCTCTGGCTGGTCTGAGACCCCTGCTAGGACCTGGGGAGGGCCAGTTTCAGCTTCAGAACGGCTAGGCCCTTCGCCTGGAACCTGGGGACTCTCCTCAACCCCCTTCATTTCCGAGACCTCAGAGCTAGTGGTTGCCATCTTGAAATGGGAGAGGGGAGAGAACCCCTACAGGGAGGATGGACTAGCAGAGACAGCCGAGAACCCTGGAAGAGGAGAAGACAGGCTTCGGGTGAGGAGGGAGGAGGGCGCTCAGCACTGCAAGCCCAATGGGGCCACATTCCTGTCTCAGGGCCAGGCTTGCAATGCCTCTAGGGAAAGTAAGAAAAGTTGGGGTTTCCTTTGCCTTAGGGTGGGACATCCCTGGGGGTGGAGTGCTCCTACTCTAAGTCTTCCGCTTGGAGAGCCCTGGGGAAGATTAACCCTTTTGTAAACAGGACCTTCTCCATGGTCTCTCCCTGGGTCCATCCGACAAGATCCACACTCTCAGATCCCAGCCGATGCCCCAGCACCCCAAAATCAACGAGCTGTGCAAACACCCAACACTCCGACAGGCAGACTGGGCAGAGAACTCGACATTCGCATTCCACTCCCTCTGCATCCTCCCCTCCTCCCGGGGCGCCCAGGCGGTGCGGGTTTTCTAGCTGCGCGTTTAGGGCGAGGACGCCCCCGCCCCTCCCAGGATCTCCCCGAGGGAGCCTGACTTGGTTATCTCCTCCGGTCCCCTGTCAGCCCCTCTCCCGGGGCTTCCCTCGCCTTCGGTGGGTTGGCGCCTTCTCCCGATGGTTCAGCCCGCCCAGCACCACCACCAGCCCTCTAGACACCCGCATTCCCGTGCAGCCCGCCCGGCGTCGGCCGTCGGTCGGTCCACTCCTACCCGCAGCCTCAGTCTGCCCGGGTCTCACCTCGACGCCGGCCTCCGGACAACTCCCGCTGCCGCTGCTGGCTTTTACAGCAGCCGCAGCCCGGGAGGGAGCAAGTCAGTGAGGGAGGGAGGGAGGGAGGCGGCGGGTCTCCCTCCTCTCCCCTCCCTTGTGCTCATCCCCTCCTCTCCGGTCCCCTCCCCTGCGCTCCTCCGCCGCCGCCGCCGCGCGCCGCCCCCGCCCCTCGCGAGCCTCCGGCCCCTCCCGCCAGCCCAAAGGAGCCACGCGTTACCCAGGCAACCGGCCCGGGGACCACTCGCGCCCCCTCCCTGCCCCTTCCCACGCGCGCCTCCAGGCGGGGCGGCCTCCTTCCTAAGTCCCCGGCCCCTCCCGTCAACGGTCACCGGGATTCCTGGAAGAGTCGGGGGTTTGGGGGAAAACGGAGAGGGTTCTGCGAGGATACGGGACCAGTGAGGCAGGCAGGACCGGGTGGAGGTGCCCCTACGAGGAGGACAAGGAAGATGGGGCAAGACGCGGGGAGGCTGCAGAAGCCGCGCAGGGTGGGGTTTCGAGAGAACGGAGCCTGCAGAAAGCAGCAGCAGCAACGGGCGCTGGAAGGCTCAAAAAAGGGGCCCTGGAAAGGACGAAGCGGGGACAGGAAAGGGAATTCCAAGGGGCAGGGCAGAGGCTGCAGGGCCGGCCTGGAGGAGGGGGCAGGGCAGAGGAGCCCGTGTAAACACGGGGTGGCCCACGCCCAGGATGAGGGACAGGTGCAGCATTCATTCTGAACCTGGCAACAGCCACAGAGCTTGGGACTCCTCAGCCTTTCCGCAGCCCCATCACCCACCGTTGCCTCAGGGCTGTGACGGGAGCAAGGAGGGATGCGGCTGGGGGCTGAGTAGTGGCCACGGGTGTGGACAGAGGGCGGCATTCCAGTCTTGCAGCTGTTTGGGTTTCTAACGGGGCCTCTTCAAACCTGCAGGGGCTATTCTGGGTTTGTCCCGATTGGGAATTCCCCAGAGACCTGGAACTTGCGATCCACAGCCTTGGGAGCCTTGGCCCCACCCTAAATGTGTGCTGCCGCCACTAGGGCTCCCCCTGGGGAAGGCGGACCCAGAACCCCACAGCCGCACAGGACAGAGCAAGGCTGGACTGACACCAGACCGGGGAGAAACCCTTGGGGGTGGGGGCAGTTGCTTGGTGAGGGCAATTCAATCAATCCAGAACCAGAAACAGGATTTTATTTAAAATTTATTGTAATGGGGTCCGCGCAAAAGAAGGGGGCGGAGGGTGGGGTACATGCAGGGGACACAGGAACACGATGACATGGCCAGGGCCACAGCTTCTTCTGTCGTGGGGAAGAGGGATGAAAAGACAAGACCAGGGCTGGAGCTGGGGTGGAAGAGGGGAGGGGGACACTGGCTGCATTCCCCCACCCCCAGGAAGCACCTCTAGGCCCTGGACCCCTCGCTCACCCTGGCCCCTAAAACTCCATCTCTCCTCTGCCTCTGGCCCTCCTGGCTCCTCCTTCTGCTCCCCTGAACTTTTTTTGACAGATTCTCAAGTAGGACAATGTTCAGGGCCTGACCCCAAACTCCCTACCACCTTATGAAGGTACAACCTTTGCGGGCCCTGCTTCTGCCCCTCCTCAAACCTCACCGCTTTCCCTCTCTGGGACAGAAGCTCTGATCTCCCTCCTTCCTCTCCTCCCTCCCCATGGAAGAAAAAAAAGAAAAAGGAAAAGAAAGCACCAACTCCCCAGGGCGGGGCAGCAGACAGCAGGGGGAGAGGATTGGAAGGAGGGGAAGAGAACCATTGAGGGAAGAGGCTCACAAGTCCCTGGGAGGACAGGGCACGGGCTTACAGAGAGGAGAGGGGGTACGGGCAGTGGCTGCTCCTGTCCTCTGCCACCCCTGCCCACTGTCCAGGGGACTTCAACACAACTGAGAGGACAGGTTTGTGTGGGGTCAGGTCTGATAGAAGAGAGGAGCAGGAGAAACAAATCGTTAAAACCTAGCGAATTCTCCTAAAACATTTCTTCCTCCTTTCCTTCCGGAGGCTCCTCGGTTGGTGGGGAAGTAGTGAGGAGTTGGTGGGAAAAGAGCGGGGAGAGGAGCCTGCACCAAGGGACTCTGCTCCATTCTCCCCTCTCCCCCGCAACCAACTTGGAGCTCACCAGGGCTGGGAGGGAAGTGGCTGAGAGCTCACAGGCACCCCCTCTGCCCCCGAGAGGGAGCCCACAGCTGTGGGAGGAGCTGCTACTGCTGCTGCCGCAGCTGCTGCCGCCGCTGCTGCTGCCGCTGCCGCCGCCATTGGACAAACCTCACCTGTACCTGCAGGAGAAACACCACGGATCACAGCGCAATCTGAATGGCAAGAGGCTTGCCCTCACCCCAGACCTGGGTTCCCAGCCTGCTTCCCCTGGGACACAGCCGTTGCTCACTTCCTATCTGGTCCCCAGAGGCCTCAGCCTGCCTCCTCACCCAGAGTTCTCAAGGGTATTCCCTGTGCCTGGAAGTCTCCCTAGCCTGAGTGGCACATGGGCATCCCTTGCCTTCCTGAGATCCCCTATTGGGCCCTTTGAGCCCCCTTGTCCCCCACACCCCCCATCCCGCCCCCTAGCCATGCCCCACGCCTTGCCTGGTGGGTGCGGGGTCCCCCTCAGCAGGTGGGCTGTGGCTGGGGGGCGTCTCCTGGGACAGGGGGGGCGGCCCCCCCCAGATGGGTCTGCATGTGGCCGGCCAGCTGGGCAGGGGTCTTGCAGTGCACGCTGCACAGCTTGCACAGGATGCGGTCAGCCCGCGGGGCCTGGAGCCCGTGGTCCTTCACCGCGTGGATGCGCAGGTATGCTGCCGTGGTGAAGCCTATTAGGGGGTGGATTGGGATGGGGCGGGGGTCAGCCCAGAGACGGAGACCCCAGAGACGGGGCTGATCTCCTAGGCGGGGGACGCCCTCCTCAGATGGCCCTGTCCTCCTCCCACAGCATCCTTGGTAGCCTGGGGCCAACTGCTCTGCTAGGGCTGGTGGGTACAGCCCCTCCCTGAGCCTGGGGCCTGGCTTGCTCGGTGCCTGCTTCTCAGCCTGGTTACCTACAGAGCTCACTCTTTATGGCCGAGAGACCTCTCCCAAGATGACAGGACACTGACTCCTAGCCACTTACAAGGTTGACCCTCAGCAGAGACGGCTGTGTCCCTTTCCCTCCAGTGCCCCTTCCCCCCTCCCCCAGGTAGCCAGTGAGTCTGACTGAAGACAGCTTTCTCTGCTACCCGGGCAGGATGTGTGCTGGTAAAGCCAAGCCCGTGTATTCCACCTGCCCCAGGAGCTGGAGACAAGACCTTGTGGCTGCCTGGCAGAAACCTTGCCTTGTAACCCCTGGAGCTGGCTTCCCTGACTACTCCTTACCCAGAGCAGCCAAGTTCCACTCCCGTTCTCCCTACACACGCCCAGGAGGTTCAACCCCTCCGGTAGATCATCTCCTCCAGCCAGGACTTCTCAGAGCCTAACGACGCTCATTCAGGTGCCCCCCCTCTGCTGCTCCCTTGACCTCTTGGAGAACTCTAGACGCCACGAGCTCTTGACTACAGCACCCTTAATCTGTATCAGTGGCAGGGCGTCTGGCCAGGCGCCCACCCTCTGCCCCTGGCCCTCCCGGCAGCCCTCAGCATGTACCTTTGTTGCAGAGCTCACAGACATGGTGAGGGCCCTGGCTGTGCACCTTCATGTGGTCCGAAATATAAGCCGAGCTCAGCATCTTGCCACACACGTGACATGGCACCTTCTCCTCGTGTCGTACTGTGTGCGCCCGCAGCCGATCCTTCGTGGCGAAAGCTGCCTCACATTTCTGGGGAGGGGGGAGGGGCGTGGGGGGTGTCACAGGAGAGTTAAAGTTTCGGGGGCTGGGGAGGGGGGAGCAAGAGGTTAAAGGAATCAGAGCCTTGGGGATCTTTGATCTGTAGGAAACGAGAGTGAGATGACGAGGCCTTGAAGGAGGAATGAGAAAATGGAGTGAAAAGGCAAAAAGAAGAGAGAGAAAAAGGGGGTCTGAGAGGCTGAACTCAGACAGCTACCATGAGGGTCAAAATCATGAAAAGCAGGACTGGAGGCGGCGGGCGTCCTACCTCACATTTGAAGGGCCGTTCTGTTGAGTGCACTTGTCTGACGTGACTGTTGAGGTGATCCGGCCTGGGGACACGTTGGGGTTGGGGTTAGGGCAGAAGCGGTGAGCTCCAAATCCGCCAAACTGCACCGCAGGCCTTTCCGAGGATCCCTGCGCCTCCTCCCGGAGCCCGGGCCGTCACAGCGCCACTTCGGCAGGAAATCCCTCCCCTCCAGCCCGGCAGCCGAGGCCGCCTCCGCCGCCTCCACCGCCTCCTCCCACGAGAAGCTTCCGTCAACCCCAAGGCCCACCTCCTTGGCAAAGGACCACCCCCTGCTCCCTGGTAACCCGGAGAGGCTTCCTCCCTCCGCCCTGGGAGGGGCTCCCCTTCCCCAGCCTCAGCAGCCACCTCCCTCCCCGCCAGCCACGGCCAGGCCACCTCTGTCGCGTCCCTCCCGCCCCACGGCCTAGTGGGCGGCCAAGGCCCCGTGCACACCGGGAGAAGCTCTTGCCACAGTGGGAGCAGTTGTAGGGCTTGTGTACAGCGCCGTCATGTGAGCGCACGTGGTAACTCATGCGGTCCTTGCGCTTGAAGCGCTGTTGGCACACCGGGCACTGGTAGGGCTTCTCGTCCGAGTGCGACAGCTTGTGTCGGTTCAGGTGGTAGACGTCGCGGAAGGCCTTGCCGCACATCTCGCAGGCGTGGTTCTTCCGGATGCGCTTCCCCGAGGCGGTCGTGGTCACCACGCCACCGGCGGCCACTGCGGCCGCGCCGCCGCCGGCCCCCGCTTCTCCCCCTCCCCCGCCGGCTCCGCTCAGCTGGGGCACGCTCAGGAGGCTCAGGGGCACCATGGTGGGCATCTTCATAGCACCCGAGGGGACCCGGCCGGCCTTGGCTCCCGTGTGGATGGCTTCGTGCCTCCGGAGGTTGTAGCCGTTCTTGAACTCCTTGGCGCACAGAGCGCAGATGTAGGGCCCCTTGCTCTTTGTCTTCTTCTCCAAGGCAGACGCGACTGGGGCCACGGCGACCGTCGAGGTTGGGGCTACGACGGCGGTGGCTGCCGCCGCGGCGATGGTGGCGGCGGAGGCGGGGGGCGCGGCCTCGGCCGCAGGCGCCGACACGGGTGGGGGTGGCGGAGGGGGCGCCGGGGGCTGCTTCAGGGCCGCTGTGTCCACCGTGGAGGCGGCGGCCGGAGCCGGGGGCGCGGCAGCGACGGCGGCAGCAGCGGCGGCGGCGGCCGCAGCGGCCGCGGCGGACTCCTGGGCAGCGGCGAGCACGGGGAGCAAGTCCACCTGGAGGGGCTCGGCCGCCGGGGCCTGGGGCGTGGGCGGGGGCGCCGGCGCGGCCTGCGGAAACAAGGCGCCGAGTGGGCCGCGGGTGCGGGCGGGCGCCCCCCCGGCCCTGGCCGCCGCGGCGGGCCCTACTCACCTGGAATGGACTCTGGGCGCAGCCCTGGGAGGCAAAGAAGCGGGACTGGAGCTCAGCCCCGACCTGCAGGGGGTTCTGGGCGTGACCCTGAGGTGGCGGGAAGGAGTTCATGAGGCCGCCCACCCCCCGGGAGTCCAGGCCCAGCACGGGGAAGGGGGGGGCCAGCAGCGTGCAAGGGAACACCGGGAACATGGCCTCGGCCGCAGCGGGGCCCCCGGGGCTCAGCGGGGGCCGGGGGCGCGGGCCGCGCGGGGCCCAGGCTCGGGGCGCCGCCCCCGGCCGGCCGGCCTGGGCCGCGCCGAACGCATGGCCCGCGGGCCGCCCCGCCGCCCGCGCACCCCGGCCGGCGGGAGGGAAGGAGGGCGCCTTGCGGGCCGCGGAGCGCCGCGGCGACGGCGGCGGCGACGCCCCCTGGGTGGGGGCGGGAGGCCCCGCGGGGCCGGGGCCGGGGCCGGGGGCGGGGGCCCGGGCGGCGGCGGCGGCGGCGGCGGCGGTTGGAGCCTGGCGGGGCGGGGTGGGGGGAGCGAGGGAGCAGCCTCGGCCCCCGCCGCGCGCGCGCCCAGCCGGCGCCTCGGGGAGGGCGGGGGAGGGCGCGAGGGAGGGAGGGGGACAGCTGCGCGCGCACCGGGCGCGCGGAGGGGGGGTGGGACGGGAGGGAGGGCGGGCAGGAGGGGGTGTGGGCAGGGGGGTGGGGGCGGGGGGAGGGGGTTGTTACCTGGAAGATGAAGCTGCTCCAGTTGCTGGGATCCATGGCGAAGGGAGGGAGGGAGGTGGCTCGCGCTCACCCTGGGGCGGGAGGAGGAGGAGGCGGCGGTGGGGGAGGGGGAACCCGGGGAGGAGGCGCGCGGGGCGGGCGGGGGGAGGAGGAGGGTGGGGGGAGCGGAGCACACTGCGCGCGGGGAGGGCGGGCGGGGGGCGCGAGGACACACAAGAGGCTGGAGCGGGCGCGAGCGCGAGCGCGAGCGCGCGCGGGGCCAGCGGGAGGGGGAGGCGCGAGAGGACTCTGGCGGGAGGAGGGACAGGGGAGCCACCCAGCAGCCCGAGTCGCCCCGAGCGCGAGACCCCTGAGACGGCTGCTGATTGGCTGACGATGGCGCAGGTGGTGGGCGCGCGGGAGACCGGCGGCTTCTCTCCTCTTCCCCCTCCAACGATTCCACCCCCCTCCCTCCGCCAGCGGCCGTTATTTCGCGCGCACGCGCACAAGGCTGTCGTCGTTGCTAAGCGGGAGAATGGGGGAGCGCGCGTCGGGGGCACGGACGGGGCGGGGCTAATCCCTGAGCGCGCGCCCGCCTAACGGTTGCGCTCAAGCTTCGACTTTCGCTTTTTGCATCCTGCCGGCCACCGTCCTCCTCGCCCCGCTTCAGACGTTTATTTACAATCCTGCGCTGAGTGGCTCCCCGAAAATGGCGCCCAGCGGAGCTGTCGGCCGCACTCGCGGCCCATCCCGGGGCGGTCACACCCCGGTCCCGCCCCCGCACCCCCAAAAATCAGGCGGAAGCACCGGAGCAAAAACTGTATTTACACAACACGGGGTTATACAAGGATTTAAAGAGGCGGAGTGAGGAAACGGCGGTCAAGACGGGTCACAGCGCTGGCAGGCGGCAAGACCCAGGATGTTCGCCTGCAACACAGGAGGGAGGGCGGGGACAGCGATGTTAGAAGGGCGCGGGGTGCAGGACAGGCAAAGCAGGGGCAGGGCTGTGACCTCACCTTCAGGAAGGACTCCATCAGTTTCCCTGTTATGCCCTCCACGCGTTCTAGGTCCTCCACCTGGCGGGACAGGATCGGTAGGAGATGGTGTCTCGGGGGTGCCTGGTCTCCCCCATCTCCCACCCTCTCCCAGTCCTCAGGGGCCTGCTACCTGGCTGAAGGGGCCGTGGAGCTCCCGCCAGCCCACGATGAGCTGGGCCTTCTTCGGGCCAATGCGCTGAAGACTGCGGAGGTCCCGTGCTGAGCCTTCATTCAGCAGATCCAGTATTTTTTTGCGCCCATGAGCCAAAAGCTCCGGGCTGATCTGTAACTCCCAGCAGTCCTCTGCCTTCTCCTCAGGCTCTGAGGCATCCAGGGACTCCAGCTGGGAGGCAAAGGGAGGTGAGTGACATGCACGGCAGCCAAGTGCTTTGGGCTCCTCTGCCAAGACTAGCCCAGAACCAGCTACGTCCCGCGCTCCAGCCTCTTCCTCTCAAGTGTGTCCAAAATCCTGCCCTCAGGTCACTCTGGGTTTTCATTATGTTACTAGTGAAAGAGAGGTACTACTTAGTATCCAGCGGTAATACTAGCACCTTTCTCATGGAGTTATTGTGATGATCAAGTGAGTTAATGAATGTAAAGCACAAAATAAGCCATTAAATCTGGTCTCTCATTTCTAAAAAGGAAATAAGCTGATTTCAGAAGTACATGGGAGAAATATGAATAAGTGATACCTCCCTCAACCACCTCAGTTTTTCAGTAGTTGTAGTGTTCAATTCTGGGCATGCCAGTGCGCATGCATGTGTGTGGTTTCATTCTTGAGTGTTTAGGTCATAGTTCCCTAAGTTTTCCTTCTTAAGCTTGTAGACGGCAGAAGTCAGGCTGCACAGTGGACCTAGTGACAGTAGCTATCAGGAAGGGAACACCCACTAGGTACATCCACATCACTGCCTTTCACCCTAAATGCCGTGCAAGGAGCCATCCATCGCCACATTCCAGGGGTAAACAAGTTAAGGCCTGCAAATAGCTGTTGGCCATCGCCCAGTGGGTTAACCCCAAGGTCAATGCTCTTACCCCTAGAGCCCACTCCCCCTTACTTCTGGGGTCTAGGTGCAGCCTAAGCCCCCAGCTACTTTCACCTTTCTCTTCCGGCCTTTATTCTTCAGGATATGGATCTCGACATTTGGGGACGCTGCTTGCGCCTGAACTGAAAGCAGGAATTGATAATTGGAGTCAGGGCAGAGGCTACCTTTCATCCTCCCTGGTAGCCCCTCAGTTCTTCCACTTCTGATTCTCCACTGTGAGTTAACCTGCTATGTCTCCACATGACCTTTTTTATACCTGTATTTGAAGTATCTCAGTCAGTCTTGCATTGTCATCAATCCGATATACTTGTCTGTCCATCCCACTATACTAAACACCTGAGGGCAGAGTACCCCCAGTGCTGCCTCAGAGCTTCCTCAGCCCTCCCTGGGACTGGCATATGGTGGGAGAACATGAATGACATGGAGACAGCTGCTCCTAACACCTTCCTTATGGGATCTCAGCTGCCTTGGCACCCCCAGCCCCTGGAGTCAAACTTACTTAGCTGTAGGGGCATCACCACAGCCCTTTTCAGGGGCTTTGCCACAGTGACTGTGCGATGCGAAAGGGGCCGGAGCATTGTGGGATAATGGTTCTCCTTTTCCTTTGAGTCTTCAGCCTTTTGGGCCAACACCTTGGCCTCCAGTTCTTTTTGCTTCATCTTAAGCCTCTGTTGGAAAGGATCAGGGAGATGTGATAACCCAGACCCAACTCCAGGGCAGCCTGAAGGGCAGTTGGTTACCAGGGTGTATATGCAAGGCCCTGAAGCCCCAGGGGGCAGAGCTAGGACCAATGGGAGAAGTTACCAGGAAACAGGTGAAGCCTACTATAATTAAGGGCTTTCTGTGATCAGGGGGCTACTCAGAGGTGGAACAAGCCTCTTGCAAATATTGAAGGGAATGGCTCTTCAAGCAGAGAGTCCTCAATTAATTGAGCTGGGTTTTAGGAAATGTAATGTTTAACATTTGTTGCTTTTACTTTGAACTTTTTCTTCTCACCCCCTCACATCTGATCTCAATTGTTTGTCTAAAGTTCAGCCACTTTAAGGACATTCAAGCAGAAGCTGGAGAAATTCCAGTGTTGGGAGAAAGCTGGATTCTCCCAGTCCAGCCTGAGTGTCCTTCCCTGTCTGAAGATACAAGGATTGCTTCTCAAGGCCAATAGGAATCCCAGCGCCCACCTCCCTCCAACACCTACCTCAATCTCCAAGTCCCTCTCTTCCACTGTCTTCATAAGCACCATCCGCTCTCGCTTTGGGGTGCTCAACAGAGGGGCCCCCAGGCTCCCTTGGGAGGCCAGCAGACGGTCCAAGCTCAGGAGGCGCTCCAGCATGGCCGGGTCCATGCTGCTTAGCTTCTGTAGGGGGCTGAGCAGACAAAGAAGTTGCTCTTCACCTACCTCCTCCCTCATCACCTTCTACAGCAGCAGGACTCCCCTCACCACACCTTAACTTGGTATATCCTGTAGTTCCAGAACCTAATGTTAACTTGCTAGGTATCCAGTTTCTCTAGGTGCAATGTCTTCATCAGGTGAAGTGACTTCTCAGGGATTTCAGGAAATCAGGCACACATTCGAGTGCCAGGTAGTAGAGATCTAAGACACTACCCTGCCCTGGAAGCACTTGTCTACTGAGGAAATCAAGAGACCATGATAAGGTGACAGGGCAGTGCCTGTCCATTTGTAGTAGTTGGGGAAAACATTACAGAGAATGCCATCTTCAGCAGGGCTTTGAAAGCCACTGAAGACCTCAGAGTCAGTCAGACTCTGAGCACGGCGAGTCTTTTTTTTTTTTTTTTTTTTTTTTTTTGAGATGGAGTCTCACACTGTCACCCAGGCTGGAGTGTAATGGTGAGATCTCAGCTCACTGTAACTTCTGCCTCCCGGGTTCAAGCTATTCTCATGTCTCAGCCTCCCAAGTAGCTAGGATTACAGGCACCCGCCACCATGCCCGGCTAATTTTTGTATTTTTAGTAGAGACGGGGTTTTGCCATGTTGGTTAGGTTGGCCTCTAACTCCTGACCTCAGGTGATCCACCTGCCTCAGCTTCCTAAAGTGCTGGGATTACAGGCATGAGTCACCATGCCGGGCTGCATAGTCTTTTTTTTTTTTCCGCCTGCCTTGGCCTCCCAAAGTGCTGGGATTACAGGTATGAGCCACCGCCCAGCCCGCATGGTAAATCTTAGCATTTTTTTTTTTTTTTCTGAGACAGGGTCTTGCTCTGTCACCCAGGATGGAATGCAGTGTTGAGATCATAGCTCACTATAGCCTCGATCTCCCGTGGCTTAAGCAATCTCCCTGCCTCAGCCTCTTGAGTAGCTGGGTCCAAAGGTGCAAGCCACCATGCCCAGCTAATTTTTAAATTTTTCTGTAGAGATGGGGTCTGTATTGCTCAGGCTGGTCTTGAACTGGCTCAAGTGATCCACCTGCCTTGGCCTCCCAAAGTGCTGGGATTACAGGTGTGAGCCACCGTGCCCAGGCAGCAATGTCTAACACTCATTTCTTTTGCCTGGAATCTTGCCCCACACCTCCTCACATCTCTATCAATGAGCTTTCCAGGTCAGTTTGATGCCACCTTTCCATGACACCCAGCTTGACAGTGCATCTTCCTCCCTACACTGTGAACTGGCTCCTGGAGGACAGGGATGCTCCCATGCTTTCCGTACCAGTGCCATGGAAAAACAGGACCAGAACGTATGTGGGCAAACGCTAGAAGCCATCTCTTCTTTCTTGGCTCACAGCAGTAGCAGCTACTCTGACCCGATTCTGCATTTTCCACCTGGCCTCACATACTGATGTTCCCCTCTGACTTCCTCTCCTGTGAGCCCCCCAAGCTCTGGGTCTGCTGGGTTTGATGTGCCCATCTCTGCGCTTCCGCTTTCTCAGAGTGCCCATCTGACAGAGAGCTTACTTGTGTACATTTCTGGGTCTGTGCACACAGGAGAGGGAACTGTTGACAGATGGTTTAGGAAGGACAAGACTGAGAGATGGGGTCATGAGTGCACAAGCATCTTCCTGTGTGGCATCTTCCTTAACTACAGAAGACCCCTGGGACAGAGTAGGCACTAACGCTTGGCCTCCTCAAGTCACCTCTGTTCAGTAGTTCACGGGCTTTATTTGGGCTAAGGGTAGGAACACAGAGCCAAATTAAAACTGCTACTGGCTCCTGGGTGGTGGAAGGGACAGCACAGGGGCTAAGTGGCCAGACACAGAAAGCAACACCCCTGAACTGAGATGATCTGAGGATTAGTATACACTGGGCCATGAGGTGGGGCAATTGGAGTTAGGGAAGGAGGCCACATATACAAAGGACTTAGTTAAGAGGTTCTGTCTGGATTGAGGGCAGAAGCAGTTAGGACAGCAGCTGGCTCCCCAAGCTGTGCCTGACACAGACCAGGTGGTCTCAGAGGGACAGCTCTTCCAAGTCTCCTTTGCTTTGCTTTCATCCTCTGGACCTGAAAGATCTGATCCAGATCACTCCTTGAACCAGAAGCAAAAATGCTCATCCTTGAAACAGCTGTCCCAAAGTGAGAAGTTTTGCTGAGGGCTAAAGAGGTTGGAAAATTGAAAGGATCCCCAGGAGGAGGCCTCCTTAGGTCCCCAAGGCAGCAGCACTGAGGAGCACTTTAATGATTCAATGGAGTAGAATTTGGGGTGAATTTATTTGAGACAGACTCTTGCTTTGTCACCCAGGCTGGAGTGCAGTGGCCACAATCTCAGTTCACTGCAACCTCCGCTTCCCAGGTTCAAAAGGTTCTCCTGCCTCAGCCTCCTGTGTAGCTGGAATTACAGGTGCATGCCACCACACCTGGCTAATTTTTGTATTTTTGTATTTTTTTTTGGTAGAGATGGGGTTTCGCCGTGTTGACCAGGCTGTTCTCAAACTCCTGACCTCAGGTGATCCACCTGCCTTGGCCTCCCAAAGTGCTGGGATTACAGGCATGAGCCACCATGCTTGGCCTAGGGTGATTTTAATGGGAGAGGAACAAGACCACAGCTATCTCTACTGAAGGATCTGACAGGCTAAACCCATTGCAGCTCTGCTGCTAAGCCACACATCAGGAAGAGAATTCACCCAAGGCCCCACTGCTCACCTGAGTTTCTGTGAGGCAGAGGCTGGAGCTGCCATGGGCTCAGGGCTCCCAATCTCCTCTTCCTCAGGGCCTCGGGCTCTCTTTGCCTCTGGTGGACCAAGCAATTCTTTCTGAGACAGCTTCACAGGTGCCAAGACTAGATGATTGGAGGATGGGGTGGAGAGAGGGATGGGGGTGGTCATCCTCTGTGCTGATGCTTGGTGGCTTCAACAAACTCCCTAATTTCCAGACCCAGCCTTTCCACTCCTGCCTCGCCTAGTCCTCACCGGGAGACTGCAGGCTTTCATTGGTAAAAGGCCGGTTGATCACCTCCTTAGACCTGGCAGCGAAGTTGAGCGCGGAGACTGTGTCTAGGTAGAAGCGTCTCTCAGGGGCAATGTTGGCAATAAGGATGCTGTGAGCTGAGCCACCCAGAGAGTCCTGAGGGTGGGACCAGGCAGTGGGTTGGTCAGAAACCTAGCCTTCCTGTGCCTTGACTGCTACTCCCCACCCACCAGCAGACCTGAGAACCTCCTTCTGCAGTCCCTTCTTCCCCGAGACAGGTGGGCCTGACCTGCAGTAGGCGAGTGAGCTTGCTATCTCGGTAAGGTACACGAGGAAGGCCCTGATTCAGCGCATCCACCACCTTGCCCAGGACAAACAGGGAGGTGTTGATGGCTCCGCTCTCTTTTAGCCGAAGGCCCCTGTTGCCTGTGCGACGGTTATCCTCTGACCCAGCCAAGTCAATCAGGTAGAGTTTTCCCTCTCGCTGGCGAAATGGGGCCAAACGTTCCCGCTGGTCCACCTGGGGGTAAGAACAAAAGTCTCGTGCTTATTAGCTCAGGCTCCTGGACCTTCCCAGGTCCTCACCCCAGTTTGCGGCTTTACCTTGACCAGGAGCACAGCATGACTGCGGGAGGAGCGCTGGTTGAGCCGGGTGGCACCTACAGTCCGGTTTCGACTGGCTGGCAGGAAGTGCCGCTCAAAATCAGCAAAGCTAGTGATGGGCTTCTGCGTGAGGCCCGGAATCAGGATGTTCCCCCGGCAGTCTTCTCGTATCACCAGGTCTCCTGATGCAGGGTCCAGGAGGTCTAATACCTGTGTAAGCAGTGAGGGGGAAGAGCAATTCTCCATACAGAGGCTGCTGCTTCCTAGGAATCAGTTTCCTTTCTCTGCTCTATTCTCGGAGTGGTACCTTCTGCTACCCCAGCCTCTGTCTTTCTAGGTCTAGGTCTCCACCTTACCTCCCTGCTAGAGTAGAGCTTTGCATTCTAGAACCGGGTCTTTCTTTGACCCTTTGTTGCTCCTCTCCCAACCAGTGTGGGGCCTCACCTTCTCCTGGTAGATCTCTAAGTAGGACATAGTGACAGAGAGGGCCCATGGCCGGCCCTCGGTGCCCTCCTCCCTTGTGAGCTGCAGGAGGTCCATGAGAGCCCGTGGGATCACCCCAGGTTGCTCTGGGCTGCCCAGCATTGTGTGTGTCTTTCCTGGGGAAAGAGAAGAGAAAGCTGTGAGGTTTTCCTCCCCGTTTTCCCAACCCTTTCTGACCCGTAGTTATTCCTTCTCTGGCTCCCTCACCAGCTCCTGTGGGTCCATAGGCAAGCACACTGGCATTCTGCCCTTCTAGCAAGTGCCTTAGGATGGGCTGCACTGAACCTGTATAGATGTCCTGCTGAGTACTCCTCTCCCCATAGAAGGCATCAAACCTGCAGAAAGAAAGAAAGAAATTAGCGTGTGTGTGTGTGTGTGTGTAAGGGGTGGAGTGGGATGGGGGTGAGCAAGGAATTCTACTGTCATCCAGACCTTGGATTTAAGAGAGTATCTCTGTCCCCTTCCATGTACAAAGACCTTAAAAAGCATCCACCTAACACCTGCTCCATCCTCATCTCTCTATTGGTGTTAGGAATAAAGAGATAGAGCCCATATTTCTGTTCTTGGAGTTTTACAGTCTGGTAGGATACACAGATATACACACTTTGCTGTGATTTAGGAAAAGAAAATGAGAACACACTCTCGAAGGAGTAACTGATTCCGCTCAAGGAAGGAAGACTTCGACCAAAGAGAAAGAAAGAAATTCTAAGAATCAGGAATAGTACAAAAGCAAGACTTCCCAATCTTTTTCACATGGTCACATGTATTTTACACCATAATGAGGAAAATAAAGGATGCTGCTTACAACTGGACTAGACTCCATATACCACTCCTGTATTCATGCATTCTGGTGGAGAAGCTGCAGCTTAAGCCACAGCAGGGAGTGTAGTATATGTTGAGGGAATGAAGCTGGAAAGAAACTGAAGCCAGATTGTGAAGGGCCTAGTATGGGAACTAGCAAACTTCTGTAAAAAGGCAGATTGTACGTATTTTAGGCTTTGTGGGCCATGTGTTCCTTTTACAACTACTCAACTCTGCCACTGTAGTCAGAAAGCAGCTAGAGACAATATGTAAATAAACGATAAAACGTTATGTACTATAAAAAAAAATCTTATTCCTGATCAGATTTGACCTGCAGGCCATGGTATGCCACCACTGGCCTAGAAAAACAGGCCAAATAATTTGAATTTTAAATCCCCAGTGGGATTATAAAGTAACTGCCCTTCTGAGTTCTGTCCCCAAATCTGGGCGATCTTCTCTGACACTACCCAGCTGCAGCTTGGGTAGGTTGGCTGGCTGGTCTGTGTTTCCCCAACTCTCCCCATATGTCCTCTAGCCTCTACTTGGGGCTCACCTGCTCACCCTCGCTGCTCCACCCTCTCTGTGCACAGTAACTATGTCTGATTCAGCCTCTCCTCTTTCCCTACAGTATCCTAGAGGAGGCCCATCACGGGGAGTACCTGTGAACATTTCCTAAGTGAACAGTGAAGGCTCAGGGAACAAAGCGGTGCCAAGGAGGGAGCAAGGATCCTGGGGAGGCAGGTCAGAGAAACTCTCTGGGGAAGTGATAACGGGAGCAGGCCTAGAAGGAGGTGATGGCATGAGGGAAGAGGAGTGGCCTTACTGGTATTTGAGAGTCTCCTGGTGGTTCCTCCAGTTAGCAATCTCTAGAGAGCAGCTGTCTATGCCCCGCACACAGGGGGGATCGCTTGTTCCAGCTGTTCTATCCACAAATGGCCGCAGTCGCACAGCCACCCTTACGCGAGCTGGAGGTGGGCGACGACTAGCTCCTATCTTGCTTAGCCGACAGCGACCAGCTCCTGGAGGAGAGAAGATCACTTTTAGGCATGAAGTACAGTGGTAGCAGAAGCAGCAGGGACCAACTTTTCTGGGAGGGCTGGGGACCACAGCTCATGTTAAAGAAGCTCTTTCTGCCCTGGTCATGTTATGGACACCCCTAAGCTTGGCCTCAGTGCTTTCCCTGCTCTACAAGCAGGTCCAGTGGGGTGGACAGCAGCCTTCTCAGACTGTAATGTATATACAAATAATCTGAAGGATCTTATGAAAATGCGAATTTGGTCTCAGTCTCCCTGGGGTGATGCCCGAGGTTTTGCATTTCTAACAAGCTCCCAGGTGATACTGGGCACTTTTTAAAAAATTAAAAAATAGAGTGAGTCCCAGGCTTGTCTTCAACTCCTGGGCTCCAGCAGTCCTCCCCCGTCAGCTTCCCAAAGTGCGGAGATTACAGGCAGAAGCCACCATGCCTGGGCCAGGACATGTTTTGAATTGCCAAGGCTGAAGTAGACCAGCACCTCACAGGGTTGTTCTAAGGATTAAAAGGGTTGACATCTGACCGAAACCTAAACAGTGAACTGCTAGATTTCTCTGTGCCCTTTTTTTGGGGGGGTGGGAGTGGGAGCAGAGTCTTGCTCTGTCACCCCAGGCTGGAGTGCAGTGGCGTGATCTTAGCTCACTGCAACCTCCGCCTCCCGGGTTCAAGCAATCCTCCCACCTCTGACTCCCAAGTAGAGCTGGGATTATAGGCGCCCATCACCATGCCTGGCTAGTTTTTGTATTTTTAGTAGAAACAGGTTTCACTATGTTGGCCAGGCTGGTCTCGAATTCCTGACCTCAAGTGATCTGCCCACCTCTGCCTCCGAAAGTCCTGGGATTACAGGCATGAAACACCACAGCCAGCCCGTGCCTCTATTTCTTAACTGGGGTTTCTAATATGTACTGAGATGTATGTATAACCACAGACACTGCCCCCCGCCACTGCCCCGCAAACTGTTAATGATGACCTTCTCTTGATGGGGAATTATGTGGGTTCTGTAAAAACCACTGACAGAGTCGGGTGTGGTGGCTCATGCCTGTAATCCTAGCACTTAGGGAGGCCGAGGTGGGTGGATCACCTGAGGTCAGGAGTTCATGACCAGCCTGGCCATCATGGTGAAACCCCATCTTTAAAAAAATACAAAAAAAAAAAAACCAAAAAAACAACCACTGACATACAGTTCTTCTCTCATGTAAACTTACCCCTGAATTTCCTTCAGATGATTAAATTAAATTTTTTTTTTAAATCAAGTCTTTTTTTAAGAATTGGCAACTGAATTATTTTTATCATCAGAAAACACAATGAAGATAAAACTTAGAAAAGGCCTCTATTTTTGTGAGGATTAAATGAGCTGAAAAAATCTAAGGAGAGTATTACTCTATTTTACGTTGGAGGATAACATACTGTAGCTAACAGTGGAATTCAAACCTAGATCTCTTCCCCTCTAAAAATCTGCTTTTAGTAGGATGCCGTATTGCTTCCCTATTATGTAACAACTGGGAAAGCTCCTGGCAGCTCTCTCTCTTCCTTGCTGGTGGTAGCAGCTGGTTGCTGAGAGCCATAGGCCTCAAAGAAGGCAAAAGACTGGCTGGCATACATAACCAACACAGAAACAGCAAGACAAAAGGCAGACAGATGACCCCTAGAAAGAATCTTACATCTAAGTAAGGCATGCCCATAAGCAGATGGCCTGTTTCAAAAATTGAACCTCCATTCCTTCATCTGATAAATGGGGCTACCAATACCATTCCTCTCATTATGGTTGTCAAGCGCTTGCACATCTACTTCTCACCTGTTCCTGAAAGGAGCAAGCAGGTAAAAACTTGCAGATGCACATGTGCAGACAGAAAATTGAGGTGCACTGACTTGTCAAAAATGTGTGCAGGACCCTCCTCTGCCTGCTTTCACAGAATGTTCTGGGAGAACACAGAAAGATGGCTGATGCAGAAGCACAGTTGATCAGTCTAAGGGGAAGGAAGTCAGTGCTGAGCTACAGTGTAAATTCTGGTGAGACAGAACTGGACTTTAATTCCAGCTCTGACATTTATTAGCTTGTGACCTTGGATCTTGGTTTCCTTGTCTGTAAAATAAGGTTGGGAGTGGGCCTTAGAGGGGTCTTTTTGAAAATTTGGCTGGGCACAGTGGTTCACGCCTCTAACCCTAGCACTTTGGGAGGCCAAGGTGGGCAGATCACCTGAGGTCAGGAGTTCAAGATCAGCCTGGCCAACATGGTGAAATCCCGCCTCTACTAAAAATACAAAAATAAGTCAGGTGTGGTGGCATGTGCCCGCAATCCCAGCTAGTTGGGAGGCTGAGGCAAGAGAATTGTTTGAATGCGGGAGATGGAGGTTGCAGTGAGCTGAGATCGCGCCATTGCACTCCAGCCTGGGTGACAGAGCAAGACTTTGTCTCAAAAAAAAAAAAAAAAAATTAAAATAAGTGGCAGCACAGTGACTAGCACATAGTAGGTAGGTTCATTATTCAAGGTAAATTAGCCTGAGTTCAAATCCCAGCTCTGCCACTTACAGCTAAGTAACCTACGGAAATCATTTTCCACCCCAGGGCCTCAATTTCCTTACCTACAAAATGGGAATAAATAAAAATAGCTCCTTGTTAGGTTGTTAGGAGAGTAATTAAGGTGATTCATGTAAAAGTGCATAGAACATTGGTAAAAGGCCAGTAAGTACCTTTTTTTTTGAGATGGAGTTTCTGTTCTTGTTGCCCAGGCTGGAGTGCAACGGCGTGATCTCGGCTCACTGCAATCTCCACCTCCCGGGTTCAAGTTTTTCTCCTGCCTCAGCCTCCCAAGCAGCTGGGATTAGAGGTGCCCGCTACCATGCGCAGCTAATTTTTTGTATTTTTAGTAGAAACAGGGTTTCACCATGTTAGCCAGGCTGGCCTTGAACTCCTGTCCTCAGATATCTGCCTGCCTCGGCCTCCTAAGGTGCTGGGATTACAGGCATGAGCCACCATGCCCAGGGTAGAAAGTGCTTTTTAATGTCCATCTCCCATTTTCCAGATGAGGAAACCTGACTTGCCTAGGGTCATCAGCTAGTGAGTGACAGCTTCAAAAGAAGATCTAACTTCAAAGTGCCCCAGAGGCCCTCAGAATCCTCCTTAGCCCCTTCATCTTTGCATCCCCAGGGGACCTGGAGTCAGAGCCAAACTCTACCGACTAGCCTGTGTGACTTTAGGAAGCTTATTTAACCACTGCAAGCCTCCATTTCTCTTTAATTACAGTGCCTACCTCCATTAAGAATGTGAGGATTCACAATGTTTAGCACAGTGCCTGGCAGCAAGTGCTCAGTCCTTAGCTGTTGTTGTTATTATACCCTTTCTCTTGCTCCCTACTCCTCAATCCTGCAACTTGCTTCTGCCTTCACTATTTGGCAGGGTCACCCATGATCTCCCTACTGCTACATCCAGTAGGCACACTCAGCCTCAATCCTGTTGGACCTCCCAGAAGTATGTGGTGCTCTTGGGAAGCACCCTTTTCCCTTCATTTCCACGCCCCGTACTTTCCTGGTTGTCTTACTGTTCTAGCTCTGTTCACTCCTCAGTTCTGCCAGTCCTCAGGGCTTTTCCTAGGCTTTGTCTATCCTTTCTCTAGACCAACGTTTCTCAGCTTCAGCACTACTGACATTTGGGGCTGGCTAATTCCTGTTAGGGGGCTGTCCTGTGCATTTAGACTGTTAGCACACGCGCCAGTGGCATTCTCCACCCTCACCCTCAAGTTGTAACTACAAAAAATGTCTCCAGACACATCCAAATGTCCTGTGAGGGACAAAGTTGTCCCCAGCTGAGACCACTCAGACTCATTTCATGGGAAGGTCACCCCCCCTCTTGGCTTCAGTATCAACTTACAGCTGATGAGTCCTATTCAAGCTCTGTACAAGAGCTCTCAACTATAGACCTACGTTCGCAGCAACTGGCCTAGCGGCTCCTCTTAAACTCTGCTTGTCCTAAACTGAACCCTACTTCCCCATCTCTCTGTAACCTCCCCATCATTTTATCTCTGATATAAATGAATGGCACCAACCCCAAAAGGGGGTCTTTTTTTTTTTTTTTTTTTTTAGATAGTTTCGCTCTTGTTACCCAGGCTGGAGTGCAATGGCACGATCTCGGCTCACCGCAACCTCCGCCTCCGCCTCCTGAGTTCAAGCAATTCTCTTACCTCAGCCTCCCGAGTAGCTAGGACTACAGGCGCGTGCCACCATGCCCAGCTAATTTTTGTATTTTTAGTAGAGACGGGGCTTCACCTTGTTGACCAGGATGGTCTCGATCTCTTGACCTCGTGATCCACCCGCCTCGGCCTCCCAAAGTGCTGGGATTATAGGCGTGAGCCAGTGCGCCCGGCCCAAGGGGGAGTCTTTAACTCCAAAGTCTCTTACCTCCCACATTGGTTCATCATTAACATCCGTCAAGCCTGCCTCTTTAAATCTCTCTTCAACAAGTCTAATTCTCTTCATTCCCACTGCACTACCTCTGCCCAAGGTCATTCTTTACAGCCGTCCTTGCTGGTGGTAGCAACGTGTCTCCCTGCCCAATAGTGACTCCCTCCATTTCCTTACTTGCCGTCTAAGTTACCAGTCATGATGAATTTCCTTCAGTTCCTACAAAACACCAAGTTCTCTGGCACCTTTGGGTTTTGTCCACATTTATCTCTCTCCCTAGAATATCTGCATTGCTCCCCACCCCACCCTGGAATGACTGAGGTAAACACATCTTCATTCCTCTTAAAAAAACAAAACCAAAACTCTCCCCTGGTAGACACTAAGGCTTTATCAGGTGCACCCACAGCTCTTGTTAGCTCCTCCATAAGCACTTGTCATACCCCACTATTGTGTGTTTGTCACTTTCTCCACTTGACTGCCAACACTGAGAACAATCATCTATCCCGCTCACCTTTCTATCCCCAATACTGGCCCAGAGTAGGCCCTCAGCAAATCTTTATTTGCTGAACAAATTAAGATTTGCTGAATAAACTACTAATCACTGGCTTGTTCAGTTCCATCATGAAAATAGTTCTCTGCCTTTTCTGCCCCAGAGCTCACAGTCCAGGGGAGGAGGAAAGAGAGGAGGGCCACAGGTAAACAACTGTTTATGGCACAAGAGTCTAGCCCTTTCATGAGAAAAGCAACCTTGTTGGACCAGGCTAGCACTTATTTCTAATTTTCCCTCCCACAATTCCTAAAATTCATTCACTCTTCTCCCTTTTATTGATGAGGAAATTGAGCTCAGAGAGCATCTTTGGTCTCTTTTACACCATAAATAAGAAAACACTTGCTGTTCTTGTCTTGTTAGTCAAGGCCTGGCAAACTCCTACCCAACCTTTGAAACCTATCTCAAGTATCACTCCCTTAATGAAGCCCTCTCAGAATACCCAAGGGTTTACTTCAGATTCCTCACATTGTTTATACACCTCTCATTGTTTCGTATTATATCTGGTTATGTGACACTCTATTGAAATAGATTGTAAGTTCCTCTAGGAAGGGACATTTATTCATTCAGGCATTTTCTTATCTACCATGCACCAGACACAATGAATCTTGAAACGGTAAGGGGAGAGTGTGCTCAGCCAGCAGGGATGGCATGTACTTGGGCATAATGGTTAAGAGCAGAGGCTCTAGACTTAGACTCCTTGAGAGCGAATTCAGGCCCCAATATTACTAGTTGTGTTAACTCTAAACAAACTATTTAACATTAGTTTCCTCATGTGTAAAACAAAGACAATAATAGTAACAACCTTATACTGTATAGTATTGTGCGGACAGTAAATGGTTCATCACCATAAAATGCCTACAGCTGTGCCTCGTACACAGCACGGGCTTTAATAGGTGTAAGGCATTCTCCTAAATGTCTGTTTCCTCACGAGGCTAACAAGGGCTCCAATAAATTACTATGGCGCCCACCATCATCACTGACCAGGACTCAGTCTCCCGGGTTAGAGGCGCATGTAAACAAATACTCACATTACGAGATTTTGGGTGTCCTAACAGCCTTTAAATAGCATTCACTTCCACGCTAGAGTGAAAGGAAACTTGAGTCCCTTACCTCCCTTTCCTGTGATCGCAGAGCATCTTACGCTGTCAACTCAAACCCAGCTGCAGTTGGTCTACCCTCAGCCCGCCCTCCGGCGTCTCTCAGGGAACTCCCTGCATCCAAACACCATGTCCCATACAGAACCCTTCCCAAAACACGCGTCCAGCCCCCTTCTTCTCGTTCTCGTGGTTAGAGCGTCCGCCACTCTTCTCTTGCTTCAGGTAATCTTCAGGGATGAGGCCATGACCCCCATTTCAGACTAAGAAACCAAAGCTCACAAAGGAAAAGTCCGTGGGGTTCAAGCCAAGAGCTTGGGCTGGAGACCCGCGTCTACTGACCCGAGGAGAGAGCAGGAAACAAGGAGAAGGCAGGAGCAGGGTGGGCCGACCGGCTCGAGACCCCGCACTCCACCGTCTCCCTCTCCCCGCCCCCACGCCATGGCGGCCTCTCCGCGACAACCCGCGGAACCTAGACCACACTCCGACGCATGACTACCACTAAGGTCCAGACGTCGGTGCCCGCCTTGCCCAAGCCGGCCTCAAGTACCTGAGGTCGCCGTCGTTGCCGCCATCTCGCGTCGCCTCTGAAGCGTCGAGACCCCTGTGGCCATTCCACGCCCTTCTTGGGCCCGCTTCTCCCGTTCGAATTTCCCGGTGCCCCGCCCCCTCTCCAGGCTCCACCAATCATGGCTACGCACCGCCGGAAGCTCCTGCCTGTGGCTCGCCATTGTCCCGCCCCCCCAGCGCCGGCCTCTAGGTCCCCAACGAAAGGTTACCCTGGTCAGGACGCATGCGCGCGCGTGGGCCGCGCAGCCGTTGACTGCTGGACGCGCGTTGCGGTACAAACCCCGACGCGGAGACGTTGGCGACGGTGGCCGTTGGGGGAGCTGCTGAGCGCCGCCCGGCACTGGACTCCCTTTCCCTTCACTTTCTGCAGTTTCTTGCCACCGTGGGTGCTTGGCTTGTCTGCAGAGCCAGGGTCGTTGTGTGGATCGTGGGACTGCAGCCCCAGCTAAGGGGCTGTCACGTCTGGGCGGTTCCGTAGATCTGGGCCACAGGGGCTGGGTTGTGGGCTGTCACGTTGCGCTTGCTGCCTGCTGGGCCCCAGGCCACTGTAGGTCCCCTCTCGTATATGTCAGCCCTGGAGAGCAGCTTGGATCCTGCCTTTATAACTTGGCACTCAGCGCGTCGGGGAAGTATGGAAAACACTTGGTCTGTGACTCAATCCCCCTCACCCACGGTTCCAGTTCCCAGTACTTAAGGGTACAGCGGTCCGTTGAGTAGCTCCTGTCCCTTCTGGAAGGTTGGCCGGGGACGATCATTCCACCTTTGAGCCCCAATAGGTAGGGCCCTTGTTTAGACATTGTGTTCCACTCTACTGAACAACAAAGCGAAACACAGGCCGGGCGCAGTGGCTCAGTCCTGTAATCCCAGGCACCTGTAATCCCAGCTACTCCGGAGGCTGAGGCAGCAGAATCGCTTGAACCTGGGAGGTGAAGGTTGCAGTGAGCTAAGATTGCACTCCAGCCTGGCGACAGAGTGGGACTCTGTTTCGGAAATGTTTCACTTGGGATCCCACTGCAGTCTTTAAAAATGAGTTCTCCAAAGATGTTTTGTGTATATGAGGGTTTTTGCTTTTTTTGTTTGTTTTTGAGACAGTTTCACTTCCGTCTCCCAGCCTAGAGTGCAATGGCACCATCTCGGTTCACTGAAACCTCTGCCTTCAGGGTTCAAGTGATTCTCCTGCCTTAGCCTCCCAAGTAGCTGGGATTACAGGCACACACCACCATGCCTGGCCTCAAGTAATCTTCCTGCACCAGCGTTTCAAAGTGCTGGGATTATATGCATCAACCATCATGCCCCACCTAAAATGGTACATTTTATGTTATGTAAATTATATCTCAATTTAAAAACTGCCAAAAATTACGGTAACAAACCAATTTCATGTAAGTAACATTTAAAACTATTTTCCGAAACAAAAAGTTAGTGAAAAAAGTGGCACAATTTTACATTTTTACAAATCTAATGTCTAGTTTAAGAGAAAATATAACAGCTGGGTGCAGTGGCTCACGCCTGTAATCCCAATATTTTGGGAGGCTGAGCTGGGAGGATTGCTTGAGCCCAGGAATCTGAGACCAACCTGAGCAACACAGTGAGATCTTTCTCTCTCTTTCTCTCTCTCTCTCTCTCTCTCTCTCTCTCTCTTTCTGAGATGGAGTTTCACTCTTGTTGCCCAGACCGGAGTGCAATAGTGTGATCTCAGCTTACCTCAACCTCCACCTCCTGGGTACAGGCACATGCCACCACGCGGGGCTAATTTTTGTATTTTTAGTAGAGATGGGGTTTCTCTATGTTGGCCAGGCTGGTCTCAACCTCCCAACCTCAGGTGATCTGCCAGCCTCAGCCTCCCAAAGTGCTGAGATTTTAGGTGTGAGCCACCACACCCGGCCTAGACCTCCATCTCTTAAAAAAAAGAATTAGCCAGGCATGGTGGCACACACCTCATAGTCCCAGCTATTTGGGAGGCTGAGCAAGGAGGACTGCTTAAGCCCAGGAGGTACAGGCTGCAGTGAGCCGTGATGGTGCCAGTGCACTCCAGCCTGGGTGACGGAGACTTTGTCTCAAAGGCAAACAAACAAAAAACTAGATTCTCATATCTTCTTCTGCATTCATGCTGTTGTGATGTCACAATATAGTATTTTGAAAACTCCACTATAATTGAGAAAGAATGCAAGAGAAGTCAAAAGGTATCTAAGTTTTATTATGAAAATAGTTTTGAACTTGCAGACCCACCAAAAGTGTATCAGGGACTCCCAGAAGTCCCTGGACCATACTTTGAGAACCTCCGACATTGACAATTGGCAGTTTGGTCTTCCTTGCCTGTCAAAAAAGGCTGTTCAAGTTTTCATATTTGTTGCCAACTCCAGTATTTGATAAGAAACCTGCCAGAAATAGTGGAAAGACCATAGATCAAAGAGATAGGGCTTCTATGTTTGAATAAATCATTTAGGTACAGGGCCTTGGTGCCACGCCACCAGGGACAGAGATTTAACCTCTTTGTGCCTCCATTTCCTCAGATATTAAAAGGGAATAATGGTTGAAATACCTCCTAGGGTTGTTTTAAGGATCTGCATCTGGCTGGTAGAAATTAGGGTGGTTTGGCCAAGCGTGGTGACTCATGCCTGTAATCCCAGCACTTTGGGAGGCTGAGGCAGGCAGATCACTTGAAGTCAGGAGTTCAAGACCAGCCTGGCCAACCTGGGGAAAACCCATCTCCACTAAAAATACAAAAATTAGGGCTGGGTGTGCTGGTTTACGTCTATAATCCCAGTACTTTGGGAGGCAGAGGTGGGTACATCATCTAAGGTCAGAGTTTGAGACCAACCTGGTCAACATGTTGAAACCCTGTCTCTAGTAAAAACATGGAAATTAGCTGGGCATGGTGGTGTGCACCTGTAATCCCAGCTACTCAAGAGGCTGAGGCAAGAGAATGGCTTGAACCCGGGAGGTGGAGGTTGCAGTGAGCCTAGATAGCACTGCTGCATGCCAGCCTGGGCAACTGAGTGAGACTCTGTCTCAAAAGAAAATAAAAAATAATTAAGTGCCAGATGATTTATATTGATTCCTAGACAGGAGACAGCGTTTGCTGGCATGGTGGCTCTCGCCTGTATTCCCAGCACTTTGGGAGGCTGAGACCGGCGGACAGCCTTAGCACAAGAGTTCGAGACCAGCCTGACCAAGATGGCGAAACCCCGAGTCTAATAAAAATACAAAAAACTAGCCAGGTGCTGTGGTGGGCACCTGTAATCCCAGCTACTCAGATGGCTGAGGCAGAAGAATGTCTTGAACCTGGGAGACAGAGGTTGTAGTGAGCTGAGATTGCACCACTGCACTCCAGCCCAAGGGCTGGACAAGGTGGTTCATACCTGTAATCGCAGCACTTTGGGAGGCCAAGGTGCATGGATCACCTGAGGTCAGGGGATCGAGACCAGCCTGGCCAATGTGGTGAAGCCCTATCTCTACTAAAAATACAAAAATTAGCTGGGTGCTATTCAGGAGGCTGAGGCAGGAGAATTGCTTGAACCCAGGAGGCAGAGGTTGCAGTGAGTTGAGATCGCACCACTGCACTCCAGCCTGGGGGACAGAGAGAGACCCTATCTCAAAAAAAAAAAAAATAAATTATCCAGGCATGGTGGCACATGCCTATAGTCCCAGCTGCTTGGGAGGCTAAGGCAGGAGAATTGCTTGAACCTGGGAAGTGGAGGTTGCAGTGCGCCAAGATCATGCCTGTGCACTCCAGCTTGGGTGATAGAGAAAGGAACGATTTTTTTTTTTTTAATTAACTTCCAAACTATGCTTTAAAAGAAGGAAGCTGGATGTGGTGGCTCATTTGGGTAATCCCAGCACTTTGGAAGGCTAAGGTGGGAGGATGGCTTGGGCCTAGGAGTCCAAGAGCAGCCTGGGCAACCTAGTGAGACCCCTTCTCTACAAAACATTTTAAAATTAGCCAAGTGTGGTGGTGCATGCCTGTACTCCCAGCTACTTGGGAGGTTGAGATGGGAGAATCACTTGAGCCCAGGAGGCTAGGTTGTGGTCAGCAGAGATCACGCTACTACTGTACTCCTGCCTGGGCAAAAGCAGAACAGAGAGTGTGTGCCATAAAAAATAATTAGTGGGTGAGGCTGATGATTCTGTCCTTCAAGTATATGAAGATTAAATCTGGGACACAGCAGCAGTGATGGAGAAGAGAATGGGGGCTGGATGATAGAGGACCAGACTCAGCCAGGGGTCCAGCTTCACCTTCCCCAGGTAGCTCTCTGTAGAAGGTCCTTCCCTGCAGGAACTGAGCTCAGCGTTTGTAGCTGCTGTGCCTGCATTAATTGATGTCTTCACTGGAATGATGAGGCTGGCTCTGCGGAAGACGAAAAAGTAAAACTGTCAACTAAAGAAAAACTCAGGCTTTGTGTGTGTGTGTGTGTGTGTGTGTGTGTGTGTGTGTGTGACGGGAGTTTCACTCGTCCGTCCCAGGCTGGAGTGCAGTAGCATGATCTCGGCTCACCACAACCTTCAGGTCACCACAACCTCCGCCTACCAGGTTCAAGCGATTCTCCTACCTCAGCCTCCCGAGTAGCTGGGATTACAGGCGGGTGCTACCATGCTCCGCTAATTTTTGTATTACTAGTAGAGATGGGGTTTCACCACGTTGCTCAGGCTAGTCTTGAGCTGCCTCAGGTGATCCGCCCACCTCAGCCTCCCAAAGTGCTGGGATTACAAGCGTGAACCACCACGCCTGGCTAACTCAGGCTTTTAAAGAATTAGGTTTGGCCAGGCGCGGTGGCTCACGCCTGTAATCCCAGCACTTTGGGAGGCCGAGGCGGGTGGATCACGAGGTCAAGAGATCGAGACCATCCTGGTCAACATGGTGAAACCCCTTCTCTACTAAAAATACAAAAATTAGCTGGGCATGGTGGCGCGTGCCTGTAATCCCAGCTACTCGGGAGGCTGAGGCAGGAGAATTGCCTGAACCCAGGAAGCGGAGGTTGCGGTGAGCCGAGATCGCGCCATTGCACTCCAGCCTGGGTAACAAGAGCAAAACTCCGTCTCAAAAAAGAAAAAAAAAAAAATTAGTTTTATTCAGAAATCTTACCGAGAATGGCAACCTGGGAGCGACTTTGAGTTTCCGTTAGACTGCTGCAGCCCGTAGTTTGCGTGCCGGTGCTGGTGGATCTGCCCTGCAGAGAGCTGCGTTAGCAACCATCCCCGCCCCCCAGCGCTGGGCTCCGGGTCCCCAAGGAAAGGTTACCCCGATCAGGATGCAGGAGCGCGCCTGGACCGCGCAGCCGTTGGCGACTGAACCCAACGCGGAGACGTCGGCGACTATGGCCGCTGGGGGAGCTGCTGAGCGCCGCCCGGCACTGGGCTCCCTTTCCCTTCACTCAGCAGTTTCTGCCTCCTTGGGTGCTTGGCTTGCCTGCGGAGCCAGGGTCGTTGTGTGGATCGTGGGACTGCAGCCCCAGCCAAGGGGCCGACACGTCTGGGCAGTTGCGTCACTCACGGTTCCGGTTCTCAGTCCTTACCGCTCCTGCCGTCTGTTAAGTAGCTCCCTGTCCCTTCTGGAAGCTTGGCCAGGGAAGATCATTCCATCTTTGAGTTCCAGGTAGGTAGGGCCCTGTTTAGACATTATTATGTTCCACCTGATTGAACAACAAAACAAAACACAAATCTTAGATCAGTGTTTCTCAAACGTTTAGTCTTGGGAGGATCCCGTTACAGTCTTAAAAAATGAGGCCTCTCGGCCGGTGCGGTGGCTCACGCCTGTAATCCCGGCACTTCAGGAGGCCAAGGTGGGTGGATCAGGCGTTGGAGACCAGCCTGGCCAGCATGGTGAAACCCCGTCTCTACTAAAAATACAAAAACTTTAGCCCGGCGCGATGATGGGCGCCTGTAATCCCAGCTACTCTGGAGGCTGAGGCAGGAGAATTGCTTGAACCCGGGAGATGGGGGTTGCAGTGAGCCGAGATCACAGCCACTGCACTCCAGTATGGGCAACAGTGTATGACTCCATCTCAAAAAATAAAATAAATAAAAATGAGGCCTCTAAAGATGCTCTCTGTATATATGGAATTTTTATCCATATTTACTGTATTCAAAATGAAACAAAATTAAAGTAACATTAATGAACTTTCAAGTTACAATAACAAACCCACAGACACAGAAACTACACCTGAGCAGTGGTTGCCAGGGGATGGTGAGGGGCTGAGGAATTGGCACTATAGAGAACAGATATAACTGCTTTCTTTTGGGAGTGGTGGAAATGTTCTGGAATGAGGTAGTGGTGATGGTTGTACAACACAGTGAATATACTACCATGAAAGTGTACACTTGTAAAATGGCAATTTTTTTTTCTTATTAGAGGCAAAATTTCACTGTGTCACTCAGCTGGAGGGTATGAGTACGATCATAGCTCATGGCAACCTCAAACTCCAAGGTTCAAGTGATCCTCCTGCCTTGGCCTCTGGAAGTATTGGGATTACAGGCGTGAGCCACAGCACTGGGCCACCATATCTGTCTATTGAACCAATTGGATGGAGATTTGTGATAAGGAAATCCTTCCTCCTCACCACAGTGCCCCTGTCAAAGAAGAGGCTGGAGCTCTGCAGCTGCTGAAGTCACTGGATAGGCTGGGATAGATAGTCCTAGCACAAGCCAATGGCATTGATTAGGGAATCACGGATGAATCAGAGCGTGATGCCATGTTGGGAGGCACCAGCATTGACATTCATGCCTCTGTGTCTTTCCCAAAAGGAGGCAGTGGCCCTTGACCCTCAGAAAAACCAGCTTCTCAGGTGAGACCTAAACTTTTCAGAAATGACACACTGAGACCTTCAAACTGGTGACAGGAATAACAGATTTCTTGCCGGTCCCACTGCACATGAAGGTTGGGTGAGCCCTAGAAGATCTTACAGGAAACTTCAACTCCTCATTTTGTCTAGAAACATTGCTGTGTTGCCCAGGCTGGCCTGGAACTCCCAGGCTCAAGTGACCCTCCCAACTTGAGCGCCAAAGTGCTGGGATTACAGGCGTGAGCCCCCTTGCCCAGCCATCATATCCTTTTCTTGAGCCAACTGCGTGGAGGTTAATGATAGAGAAGTCTTCATTCCCCACCACAGTGCCCCTGCCAGAGAGGAGGCTGGGGCGCTGCAGCTGCTGCAGTCATTGGAGCAGACGTATTGCCAGCACCGTACTGGCAGTGGTGAGGGATCCAGCACTGTAACTGATGAGTTAAAGCACAGTATTGGGGTGCAAGAGAATGGCACTAAAACTCGTGCCGGCCAGGCGTGGTGGTTTACGCCTGTAATCCCAGCACTTTGGGAGGCCAAGGCGGGCAGATCACCTGAGGTCAGGAGTTCAAGACCAGCCTGACCAACATGGAGAAGCCTAATCTCTACTAAAAATACAAAATTAGCCAGGCGTGGTGGTGCATGCATGTAATTCCAGCTGTTCGGGAGGCTAAGGCAGGAGAATCACTTGAACCCAGGAGGCAGAGATTGAGGTGAGCTGAAATCACACCATTGCACTCCAGCCTCGGGGACAGCGAAAGACTCTGTTTCAAATAAAAATAACAATAAAACTGGTGCCTGTGTTTCCCAAGAGGCAGGTAGCAGCTCTTGTCTGTCACAAAGACCAGCATCCTCAGCTAGTGTGTGAACCTGCCTGATGGGTGATCCTTTTACCTGACCTTGGTCAGCAAACTGCTACTCCCTGCCATTGTCTGCTGATTCTCCACCCAGTCCTCCTAGGTGTTATCAGGTGTGACACTTAATTTAGGTGTCAGTTTGGTTCCATTTTGTTCGAAGATGACATATGTGACTCCATTATGATGCTGATAACATTCTTTAAGAAATTCTTAATTTTTTGAGATGGAGTCTTGCTCTGTCATCCAGGCTGGAGTGCAGTGGTGCTATCTCAACTCATCTCTGCCTCCAGCGTTCGAGCGATTCTTGTACCTCAGCCTTGAAAATAGCTGGGATTGCAGGTGCCTGCCACCACACCTGGCTAATTTTTGTATTTTTAGTAGAGGCAGGGTTTGGGAGGCTGGTCTCCAACTCCTGCCTCGATCTCCCAAAGTGCTGGGATTACAGGTATGAGCCACTGCGCCCGGCCAGATGCTGATAACTTTCACAAAACTAACGTATACCTTCACTTATTTTAATTTTCTTCCCTTCTTAAAATTTCTTGCCCCAACTACATAAATCATCCTCATCCATCTCTTTTGAGACCTTATCAGTGATCTCTTTCCAGAATCTTCAGCCTCTTTTTCTTTGTTCCTCTTTATCGTGTGAACATGCTCATGACTCTCCTGTCTGGGATTTTAAAAAGACACAAAACCCTTTTGCCTTACATTGCCCCCCATAACTGACTTGCCTATTTTCTGGCAGCCCAGACCAAACTTCTTGAAAGATTGGATTCTTGCTGCCTGTGTTTTCTCAACTCCCATTCACTCCTTAATGAGTTCAGCCCGGTGTCAGCCTGCCCCAGTCCACTGTAACCTTCTGATGGTTAAAACCTAAGAGCGTGATATGGGCAGGATTTCCACTGTGGAAAAGGTGGTGGCTTCCTGAGGAAGGAGGAATCCCAGATCTGAGAGGGCTTAGCAGGACACTAGGGCTCATGGGTAGACGGGGGGGAGGAACTGGGCCTGGCGGGCACAGACATCAGTTAAGTTTCAGGAGTTAGGTGAGTTTTGGGAAAGAACAAAGGGGAATGGTCCCGGCTACCCACACATAGCATGTGAGTTCAGCACTTTCTCAAGGGGAGGATCAGGGGTGAAGAGAGCTGGAGGGTGGGACATCTGGGGTTTATAAGCCACAACTAGGCCTTCCTCTAGGTCGAGAGTTTGAGACCAGCCTGACCAACATGGAGAAAACCCAGGAGATCCAGGACTCCTGTTTGGATTAACATTCTGAGGAGCTGTCCTTGAAGAGTGTTGATGCAAGCCAGAATCCCATCTCCTCTTGATAAATCATAGCACAAAGCCCAGGATTCCTACACACCTCTCCCTCATCTTCCCACTCTTCCCAGACTGATGTCCAAAGCCAGCCAGAAGTGAGATTTGCACGTCCCTGGCTGAGTCAGGAGGCAGATCCTAGCTGCAGACGCCCACACACACACCAACCTTAGCCATATTTTTTATTGAGCCATTTGGATGGGGGTTAGTGATAAGTGAGTTCTTACTCCTTATCACAGTGCCCCTGCCAAGGGGAGGGGGCTCAGCAGCTGCTGCAGGTACTGGGGTAGACATCCCAGTGCAGGCCAATGGCATCGATGACGCTACCAGACCGGCCACTGATGAATCGGAGCACGGTGTTGGGATGCAAGGGGACGGCATTGAAACTTGTGCCAGTGTCTTTCCCAAAAGGCAGATAGCGGCCCTTGTCTGTCACAAAGACCAGCTTCCTCAGGTAGCGCTTATACTTCCCAGAAACCTGGATCACAGATTCCCCAGGGTGCAGAAAGATTTCCTCCAGATCTCCTGAGGAGCCACCCACATAGTCGCTCCACACCTTCCCATAACGCACCTGGAGACTGGGGGAGAAGGGAGGAGGGAAGGAGAATGGTGATGACAGGAATGACAGATCTGCTCGTCCTACAGACTGTGAAGCCTGAGTGAGCCCTGCAAGATCCTACAGGGAACTTCAACTCATTTTGCCAACTAAGAGACTCTGTCACCCAGGCTGGAGTGCAGTGGTGCAATCTTGGCTCACTGCAGCCTCAGCATCCTGGGCTCAGGTGATCCTCCCACCTCTCCTTCCTGAATAGTTGAGGCTACAGGTGCTTGCCACCATGCCTGGCTAATTTTTGTTTTTGTTTTTGTTTTTCTTTGGTAGAGATGGGGTCTCGCTATCTTGCCCAGGCTGAGCTAGAACTCCTGGCCTCAAGCGATCTGCCTCTGCCTCCCAAAGCATTGTAATGACAGGTGTGAGCCACTGCACCGAGCCAGGATCTCAAAGAATCTTACCCTATGATGTAGTATCTGCTGACTCGGACCCGAAAGGCGGTGATGGGGCCGTCCAACTGGTTGCCAGAATGAGAGAATCGCTCTCCACCACCCCCTCCATACTCTCCGCTGTAGGAGGAAGACCTGGCCTGAACTGGAGGGGCAAGCAGGAGTTAGAGGGAGAAATCTTCCAGGAGTTCAGTTTCTCTGCACCACCCCTGTTCCTCCCACATCCCAGCTCCCCCACCCCAAGCCAGCCTCCAAAAGCCTTGGCCAACAGCAGTGCTCAAGGCTGCCTTCCCACGTCCCCATTACCAGGCTCCTGGTATCTCACTTACTGGCATTGGCAGAGGCTGAGGCACAGAGAAGAGCTAGGAGAGCAACTGTCAACGTCAACATTTTGGGGCTGCAGTGGAAAGGAAAGAGCCAGTGAACATTCACCTTTTTCTTTGTGGACTTCATTGACCCAGGCACTCCTGACCTGCAGCTCAGACCAAGGTTTCATCCTTCAACTCAGACCTAGCAGACCCAGTCTTGAGCTTAGAAACGTCTGTCCATCGCCTGTAGTCCTTTTGCTCCCCGATTCTACCTTCTATGTCCCTGACCCCTCCAGCTCTTCCTGGTCTGGCTGTAGCCAAGCCCTCCTCTATTCCCTCAAGCCTGAGGGTGAACCCTAACTATCTGGATTAAATCTTACTCCATCTTGGCACAAAGCAGAAACATTTTCTGAAATCAGCCCAGCTCAGGCACATTTGGGTTTGTATGGCCATAGCCAGGAAAGGAGTTTTCTAAGGAGAGAGCAGAGGACGCCTCCCAAGCACGGAGATGGCTGAGTTTACAGAGCCCAGAGTCTGAGCAAAGCCTCACCATCTGTGGTGGATTGGCCTGGCTTATGAGGCACCTGGAGCATGGTTTAAATCCCTAGCATCCACCTGTTGCAAGGAAAGAAGCATTTTAGAGGTGTCTCTGTGTCACCTGGGGAGCAAAGTTGGTAACAGAAGGGGCTGTGCCAGCACCGATATCCAAGCTGTGCTGGTGGAGCTGGGACAGACAGGGAAGTTGCAGAAGGAGTTGGGATCAGCTCAGAATATTAGACCCCAGGTGCCTGGTCTATGTGTCACCATTCTTTTCTCCACTAACACACAGCCGTTTCCATTCCCCTGAACATCCCAGGTGTCCCCAGTCCTTCAGCAGAGACCTAGACAGCTTTGCACCTAAGATTAGTGCACATCCAGGAGCCCAATTAACTCAAGTCTTCCCTGCTACTCCGTCCACACATCCTCTTCTCCAGCTCAGATTTGAATTCCCCCCCAACTCAGATTCAGGCATCTCTGTCACCCCTTACCTGGCAGTCTCAGATGCAAAGCCCCCTGGAAACTTCCAGATGTTTTATACCAGGTCCAAGCCCTCCCCCTGCCCTTTATCGTGTGAACCTCACCTCCTGAGCAAACACGAGCAACCTCTTCGGATCAGGTGTCAGGCAGGGTCCGGAACACCTTATCCTGCCTCTCCCCCATAGTCAATAGACACTACATAGTAGGGTAAGATTCTTCTGAAATCCTGGCTGGGCACGGTGGCCCACACCTGTCATTACAATACTTTGGGAGGCAGAGGCAGATCGCTTGAGGCCAGGAGTTCTAGCTCAGCCTGGGCAAGATATCGAGACCTCATCTCTATCAAAACAAAAAACAAAAACAAAAATTAGCTGGGCATGGTGGCAAGCACCTGTAGCTTCAACTACTCAGGAGGGAGAGGCAGAAGGATTGCCTGAGCCCAAGATGTTGAGGCTGCAGTGAGCCAAGACTGCACCACTGCACTCCAGCCTGGGTGACAGGTATTAGGGTGGAGTCCACTCTGGGCCAAGTGCCATCTATCAGGAGCATAGTAAACTTGAGGTTGCCAATCGAAGGGCCAGCAGCTCCAGGTGGGCAAAGTAGCTTATCACCTCTGGACTTGGTGGTGCTCTCACCCGAAATCTGCCATCTGTCAGGACAAACAGAGCCCTTCCCAGGCATTCAAAATGTGAATTCTCCAAGAAAGGAAGATACTCCCCAAGCCTTATACTTAGGAGTGCCGACTATTCGCCAGACACTTTTTTCTTTACATTTTCTAATATCATGAAAAGTCCAAACACATATAAAAGTTTTTAAAAAATTGTAGAGTGGCCAGGCATGGTGACTTAAGACTGTAATCCATTTTGGGATACTGAGTTGGGTGGATCACCTGAAGTCAGGAGTTCGAGACCATCCTGGCCAACATGGTGAAACTCTGTCTCTACTAAAAATATGAAAAAAAAAAAAAAATAGCCAGGCATGGTGGCTAATGTGCCTGTAACCCCAGCTACTCAGGAGGCTGAGTCAGGGGGATCAATTTAGCCCATGAGGTCGAAGTTGCAGTGAGCCATGATGGAAAGATCATGTCTCAAAAAATGAAAAAAAATAAAATAAAATAAAAAGAATTGTAGGGGTATCCCCTCCAGATTCCCCTCCCACAACAGTGTGGGAGCTCTCAAAAACAAAATAATAAAAAAAAGAATTGTATAGTGAGCACTCATATAACTACCACGTACATTCTACCACGGTTAATATTTTGCTGTCATTGCTTTTTTTCCATCCACCCATCTATCCTCAATACGGCAGACGCTTCCCAAACCGTTTCTTTCTGAGAAGGATGACTTGAGCTGCAGGTGCACAGTGAAGACGTACTGATTCGCCTCCCAGAAACAGCGTCAGTCCGATGGGAAATGGGAAGCTGAGGAACTGGAGGTCTACAGGTGCTCCTCTGGGGGTAATTCTGGGCTTTGGGGACTCCAGTCTCCCTGGCGCCATGGCTGAATCTTCTGGGGCTGTAGGCCACCAGGGCCATTGCTGCTTTCTTAGGTCTGTAACCTCCTCAGGGGTGATGTCATAGATCTGTTTTTCTCTGTAGGCCCTTCACTTTCAGGATTTTCACTAGGGATTCCAGGCTGATTCCTCTCAGCCTAAAACCCCTAAGACCGACTCCTGGGACCTAGTTCCTGACCCCTCTTGGACTGGCCCTCTGACCTCTCTGAATCAGCAGGTCCAAGAAGGGGAACGATGGAGGCCCAGAAGGGGCTGGAATAAGTACTCTCAGTTATGAATGACTAGTCAGGCCTTCAGAGCACCTCACCCCTCACAGGCTCACCATCTGGGCCCGAGAACCCATACCAGATAGCAAAGGCAGTCCTGCCCTGAGTATCCGGAAACGGCGGGGCCCCAGGGTGGTAAGTTCTAGGGAGAAACAGAACAGCAGCCAAAGATGTCATGTTCACTCCTCCCTTCCCCTCTCTTTCACTCCAAGGTTGAGGTCAGCACATCCTGCTGTTATAACTTTCACCTCATTCCAGCCATTTTGTTTTGTGTCTGTCACCCTCTCTCTTTCCCGATGACTCTCCTTCCCTTTATGTCTTGATCTTTCCCTGCTCTGAGGATTTTTTTTTTTTTTTTTTTTTTTTGGACAGAGTCTTGCTCTGTCATCAGGCTGGAATGCAGTGGCATGATCTGGGCTCACTGCAACCTCTGCCTCCTGGGTTTAAGCAATTCCCCTGCCTCACCTTCCTGAGTAGCTGGAACTACAGGTGAACGCCACCACACCCGGCTAATTTTTTGTATTTTAGCAAGCATGGGGTTTCATGATGTTGGCCAGGATGGTCTCGATCTCCTGGCCTCATGATCTGCCCACCGTGGCTTCCCAAATTGCCAGAATAACAGGTGTAAGCTGCTGTGCCAAGCCTTTTCTTTTTTTTTTAAATGGAGTCTCGCTCTGTTGCCTAGGCTGGAGTGCAGTGGCGCAATCTCAGCTCATTGAAACCTCTGCCTCCGGGGTTCAAGCGATCCTCCTGCCTCAGCCTCCTGAGTAACTGGGATTACAGTTGCCCATCACCATGACCAGCTAATTTTTGTATTTTTAGTAGCGATGGGGTTCACCATTTTGGCCAGGCTGGTCTTGAACTCCTGACCTCAGATGATCCATCTACCTTGGTCTCCCAAAGTGCAGGAATTACAGTGTGAGCCACCGTTCCTGGCCTGAGTTTTTTTTTGTATTCCTTCTCTCTATGCCATTTTCCTTCTGCCTCTTCTTTCCCTGTCCTTACATCTCCCCCAAGATCTCTCTCTTGCTCTTTCCTCTCTCCTCCGTAATCCTTGTCTGTCTTCTGTTTCGGGACAGACCACCCCTAGTCTGTGACCAAACACAAGAAGTCAAAGATGGAAGCTCAGAGAGGTCGAGGTGAGCACCTTGGAAGGACGCCCTCATGTTTCCAGACATGACACATTTAGGACCCTCAGGACAGAAGGGCCCACACTTGCCAAAGCTCCATCCCATTGCACCTACCCTACCTGTACGGAGATCCAGCGTCTCCATTGCCAGAGACTGCTCCTTGTTCCACTACAGCAAGTCCTCAGTCTCCAGAGTGCAAGAGTCGCCTTCCTGTGGTGGGAGGAATCTCAAGGCCCATTTCTACCCATCCCAGAAACAAGGAAAGTTACCCTATCACTAATGCCGGCATCTCTAGGGTGCACTCTGATGTGGGGACTGCAGCAGAAGGACGAACGTGAAGGCAGTGAGACACCAGGCCCCATCTCTGCTTCTGCCTCATCAGACCCTGTTTGAGCTACTTTACATTTATCCTCTGTACCAGCTGAGGGCCTACCTGCCCCTTAAACTCCAGATGAAGTTGCCTTAAACCTCATTCCATTCCCCGGCCTGCATGCATGAATGTCCAAAGCCCTTCCAACACATGTTTTTTGTTTGTTTGTTTTTGTCTTTTTTTTTTTTTTTTTTTTTTTGGTGAGACGGAGTTTTGCTCTTGTTACCCCGGCTGGAGTGCAATGGCGCAAGGCATGATCTTGGCTCACCACAACCTCCACCCCCTGGGTTCAGGCAATTCTCCTGCCTCAGCCTCCCGAGTAGCTGGGATTACAGGCACGCGCCACCATGCCCAGCTAATTTTTTGTATTTTTAGTAGAGATGGGGTTTCACCATGTTGACCAGGATGGTCTCGATCTCTTGACCTCGTGATCCACCTGCCTTGGCCCCCCAAAGTGCTGGGATTACAGGCTTGAGCCACCGCGCCAGGCCTGTTTTTGTCTTTTTAATTTTCTTTTTCTCAAGATGACAGAGTCTTGCTCTGTTACCCTTTCTAGCTCACTGCAACCTCCACCTCTCGGGTTCAGGAGATTCTCCTGCCTCAGCCTCCCAAGTAACTGGGATTATAGGTGCTCACCATCATGCCTGACTAATTTTTGTATTTTAGTAGAGATGGGGTTTCACCATGTTGGCTAGGCTGGTCTGAAACTCTTGACCTCGTGATCCACCCTCAGCCTCCCAAAGTGCTGGGGTTACAGGCGTGAGCCACTGCGCCTGGCTGAACACGTTTATCAAACATCTCTACGTTGGAGGCACCATTCTAGATGCTGGAGAGACAGCAAGGAGAAGAGTCAGCAGCCGACCTCAAGGAGCTGTAGCGCCAAGGGAAAGCTTCTTCTCTGCTCTCTAGCCCTATAAGGGCTCCCCGAAAAGGAACGGACAGTTGACAAATTAATAGAAGAAAAAGGTGTACAAAATTTATGTCACATGTGCAAGCATGAGGGAACCACAGAAGAACAATGACCTAATAACCCAATGTGGTCCAGACGCTTACGTAGCCTCCTCCTTCACAGGGAGGGGAAATGGGAGTGTAGCGATGTTGAGAGGTGGTATGTGATTTTGTGGGGAAATGAATGGGGCCGGCTGTGGTGGCTCACACCTGTAATCCCAGCACTTTGGGAGGCTGAGGCGGGTGGATCACTTGAGATCAAGCCTGACCGACATGTGAAATCCCATTTCTACTAAAAAAGTACAAAATTAGCCAGGTGTAGTGTGGCTCATGCCTGTAATCCCAGCACTTTGGGAAGCTGAGGTGAGCGGATTGTCTAAGCTCAGGAGTTCAAGACTAGCCTGGGCAACATGGTGAAACCCCGTCTCTATTAATATACAAAAATTAGCCAGACATGGCAATGTGTGCCTGTAGTCTCAGCTACTGGGGAGGCTGAGGCAGGAGAATCGCTTGAACCCGGGAGGCAGAGGTTGAAGTGAGCCAAGATTGTGCCACTGTACTTCAGCCTGGGCGGCAGAGATAGACTCTGTCTCCAAAAAAATATACAAAATACAAAATTAGCTGGGCATGGTGGTACACACCTGTAATCCCATCTACTGGGAAGACTGAGGCCGGAAAATTGCTTGAACCCAGGAGGTAGAGGTTTCAGTGAGCTGAGATCCCACCACTGCACTCCAGCCTGGGTGACATGGCAAGCCTCTGTCTCAAAAAAATAAAAAAATTAAAGAAAAAAAAGAAATGACTGGGCGCGGTGGCT